AAACGATAACAGATACGTGTGTTTCTATGCCAGTTCTATCTTCCCATAAAAGAGCAAAAATCTAACAAACAAAGAAAATTAAACAAGCCAACACACAGGTAAATAAATAAGGGTTTCAGTTGGGGGTCCCATTAGGCCTTCTGAGGCACTGACCATGATGCACTCCTAGGCAGGACTTTGTTACCATAAACGTTGTAATTACTGAATGGAAACAATTAGCAATGCCTTGAATTATTCAGAGTCTGCCCTGGAAAGTACAAGAAACTGCGGCTGTTTCTGCTCAGGGAAATAAGAAACGGCCTGTGTGTGTGTGCCTGCCTACATCACAGTTGTGAACGTGATGTCACCAGGAGGACAAACAAAAGGGGGTAACCTGAGCCCTAAAAACACGCCACCGCGATCGCACACTGGCGGATGTGTCACAGTCAACCCCACAGACGGGCCACTGAATTAGGCCACTGTGCTAATCGAATGGCCCTCTGGTTTAAGTGATAACCAAAGCACACTGGTGTCTGCCCATGTGACTAACCTTTGTTTCTAGAGGAATTACTCCGGTATAATTGCAGATGTCAATCTGCTGAGACCAACAGAACTGTGTACACACATTTTTGAATTGCAAAACTATCCTCTGTAAGAGAGCTGGAACTGGAACCAGATGAGGTTGATTGAATTGTCTTTATTTGTTTTATAAGCATGTAACGCTGGCAGGTCTAAAACAGCAGAGCAGTCGATAATAACAGTGTTAACGACTATTTACATTTACATTTTAGTCATTTAGCAGACGCTCTTATCCAGAGCGACTTACAGTTAGACTATGACTGAATATTTAAAGAACATACTTTGGCAATAGAGATATTTTCCAGGTCTTTTTTTGTTTTATTCACACTATATTTTTTGTGTATTTATTTACAGTGTTCGTGTCCTGCAATTAACCTTTGGTTGGACAGTGAGAAATATATTGTCATGGTTCATTTTAACTTCAGATGTTGGTATTTGAGGAAGCGAATGATTAAATAGGATTCACTCTATTCTCTGTTTCAGTGTTGAAAGGATTCCAAGCACTTCAAATTGGTATGTGGCATCTGGGCTGGCCAAATGGTTTAAGGATAACTATGCCTGCCACACACACAAGTGACTGACACACAAAATAACAAAACACTCTATAATCCTCACTCCTGAATCTGGCTGCCCAAAAAACGCTCAATACCTAATCCCTGCATTGGAAAGAGGATGTATTTTGCTGGAGTTAAAGGGCCTCGGTAAGGTTTGCTCTTTTCCTAGCCACAATGGAGATGTGTGTCAGTGTGTAGGGCATGGTACAGCCCCAGGCTAGCAGCCTCCCACACTGCCCGTAGATCCTCAGTCAGAAGCCGAAGGTGGGCAGAGGCTCTCTCTCAACGTTATGTTCTCCCCCATTATGCATACCTCCGGGGGAGGAGGGGTTGATGGAGATAGATGTACTTCATGGCTTGATGTGTGTGTGTGTGTGTGTGTGTGTGTGTGTGTGTGTGTGTGCTCGTGCATGCGTGCAGAAACTTACTGTGGGGGCTGGTGTACTTGAAAATGTCTGCCTTATCAGGGGCATCAGTTGTTGGCAGAGGGCCGTCCTATCATATGAAATACTGTTAGACTATGGATCTGTTACATAAAATGCTTGAATCATCCAGTGGAGTGTTTCTGTTTATATCTTTGAGGATGTGTTCCATCTCTATAGAGCGAGGTGTCCCTAACACAATGCCTCTGTCACTGTCCCACGCACACTTCCTCCAGGTACTCCACTTGAAAAGGATGCCAATGAATATTCTCACCCACACTCTGTCAGAAAATAGGACAGGGTTTTAGTTGGGATAAATAGCACTTTATATAACCCATTCAATACTTTTTCTTTGACTTACAAAATGGTAAGCGTATGCTTCGGCACCATGGTAGCAGATATGGACAGAATAACAAGAGATACTTTTCTGTTTATCAGCGTTGCATCCACATCCCTGGGGCCCAGCAGCAGAGCTAGAAAGATTCATTAACGGAAGGAGATGCTCCCAATTGTGGAGGGGGGAGAGGGGGAGAGGGGGCGAGGGGGAGATGGGGGAGAGGGGTGTGCCAGCGTGGCCGCCATTAAGTGTGATATATGAAACTGACTCCAGCTTTCACAGATTGCTCTTTTCCACTTAGTGATAGGTTTGCTCAGTTGACCCTTATTTCACAAAATACTAGCAACGGAGAGCATATTTTGTGAAAATAAGCTAGGAGGAGTTAAGAGGCAGGTACAAGTACTGTAGGTTTAGACATCTTTATTATTCCTCTCTGGAATATCTATATCTACGTTATCTTTACAAAGCTGTCAATCAAGCACATTTCATTAAGTCGGTATGCAACAACTGTTCATGTGTTTCAATTGAGACTGCGTTCTGTATTTTCTTATTTTTAAACTTAGCAAAACATGGCTGTTTTGTCACATACACATTTGGCTTTTGGTTTAATTTAAACATATACAGTGGGGAGAACAAGTATTTGATACACTGCCGATTTTGCAGGTTTTCCTACTTACAAAGCATGTAAAGGTCTGTCATTTTTATCATAGGTACACTTCAACTGTGAGAGACGGAATCTAAAACAAAAATCCAGAAAATCACATTGTATGATTTTTTAATAATTCATTTGCATTTTATTGCATGACATAAGTATTTGATCATCTACCAACCAGTAAGAATTCCGGCTCTCACAGACCTGTTCGTTTTTCTTTAAGAAGCCCTCCTGTTCTCCACTCATTAACTGTATTAACTGCACCTGTTTGAACTTGTTACCTGTATAAAAGACACCTGTCCACACACTCAATCAAACAGACTCCAAGCTCTCCACAATGGCCAAGACCAGAGAGCTGTGTAAGGACATCAGGGATACAATTGTAGACCTGCACAAGGCTGGGATGGACTACAGGACAATAGGCAAGCAGCTTGGTGAGAAGGCAAGAACTGTTGGCTCAACTATTAGAAAATGGAAGAAGTTCAAGATGACGGTCAATCACCCATCGGTCTGGGGCTCCATGCAAGATCTCACCTTGTGGGGCATCAATGATCATGAGGAAGGTGAGGGATCAGCCCAGAACTACACGGCAGGACCTGGTCAATGACCTGAAGAGAGCTGGGACCACAGTCTCAAAGAAAACCATTAGTAACACACTACGCCGTCATGGATTAAAACCCTGCAGCGCACGCAAGGTCCCCTGCTCAAGCCAGCGCATGTCCAGGCCCGTCTGAAGTTTGCCAATGACCATCTGGATGATACAGAGGAGGAATGGGAGAAGGTCATGTGGTCTGATGAGACAAAAATAGAGCTTTTTGGTCTAAACTCCACTCGCCGTGTTTGGAGGAAGAAGAAGGATGAGTACAACCCCAAGAACACCATCCCAACCGTGAAGCATGGAGGTGGAAACATCATTCTTTGGGGATGCTTTTCTGCAAAGGGGTCAGGACGACTGCACCATATTGAGGGGAGGATGGATGGGGCCATGTATCGCGAGATCTTGGCCAACAACCTCCTTCCGTCAGTAAGAGCATTGAATATGGGTCGTGGATGGGTCTTCCAGCATGACAACGACCCGAAACACACAGCCAGGGAAACTAAGGAGTGGCTCCGTAAGAAGCATCTCAAGGTCCTGGAGTGGCCTAGCCAGTCTCCAGACCTGAACCCAATAGAAAATATTTGGAGGGAGCTGAAAGTCCGTATTGCCCAGCGATAGCCCCGAAACCTGAAGGATCTGGAGAAGGTCTGTATGGAGGAGTGGGCCAAAATCCCTGCTGCAGTGTGTGCAAACCTGGTCAAGACCTACAGGAAACGTATGATCTCTGTAATTGCAAACAAAGGTTTCTGTACCAAATATTAAGTTCTGCTTTTCTGATGTATCAAATACTTATGTCATGCAATAAAATGCAAATTAATTACTTAAATCATACAATGTGATTTTCTGGATTTTTGAAAATCTGCAAAATCGGCAGTGTATCAAATACTTGTTCTCCCCACTGTATGGGTGTTTAACGATATTGTTGGTGGTATTTACAGAAAGGGGATCTGGCCTGTAACAAACCTCCATCCAACCACTTATACTGTAGTTGCGAAACTCAGGCTTCCACAGAAGGCTTATGGTATGTCCAGAGGGGTATACTAGAAAGCAGGATCAATGTGTTAGCCAGCTAACTTTGATAAGCAACCAGAAATGACTATTGATTTTATGGTTCATTAAAAAAGCTAAACATAGATATGTCTTTTCGTTTGTTGAATCAATTAGACCATGCCCATTTCAAGCTTCTTTCTAAAAAATCATTGAACCTGCTTTGTAGTTTACCCCTCTGGTGTTTGCACACATTCTTTTTGTGTAACAGCATGGAAGAGAATGAAAACAAAACGGACCAAAAGTAAATATTTCCGGTGCTAAAAATACCTGTGGTTTTCTGCCGGGCTATTTTTAGTTCTCACGTTGGCCTCCAGACACCCGCGTCACACAGCTTTCGTGCTCTTACCCGGCAGCACCAGAGCAAAGGGGGCCTTGTGTGTGTCTGTCGCAATCATAGAAAAAAAAACTGAAATCAGGAAGTACACAGCAGAGACTTGCAAGTTCAACATGTTAGCCTCAGAAACTGGGGTTCATTCTGTATTCAGGTGTTGGTGTGGTTTCTGTACGTTAACACTCGGAAATAGAACCACAAATGTTTATTTATAGTTTCTGTGTCTTTTAGGAACTACGTGGGCCTAGTTGGTACTGATGACTCACTGTTAGCAAGAGGGGGTGGTTCAGTTTGAAACTACACTCAGTAGAAATATTTCAAATTCAATCTAGTTTAGCACTGTACTCTTTGTACTGCATGCCACTGTACATGAGAATATAGATGACTAAACTGAGATTCATTTATTTGAAAATTGAGGAATATCCTAGAGACATAAGTTATTAACTTCTCAGTGAGTGTTTTGTTTCAATCACTGAATTGTTTCTCTCTCCTCTCTCTAGGTCTTATGTGAAGATTCTCGTGGAAGTTGTAAAAGGAGGGAAATCAACAAGCTTTTTTTTTTTAAGACTGGTAAGTGTTCAGTAATAAATATGTACCCAATCATGATTTTTAAGATCATGTTTTCTTTTACAGTACATGCCATTTATATATATATTCTGTTTACATTTTCAGATCACTCAAAGATCTTCATACATTTAATGAATTGGACAGAACATTTGAGCGCTGAAACAAGTTTGCAAGTTTACAGTATGATTGACAGAAAGAAGGTGTTCTGATGCAGACTATAGAGGATCATCGTGACTCAAATGTGGAACAACCCAACAACTTCAGCAATGGAAGGCCCCTTTGTTTAAGATCTCCAGGTGTGACAGCATCTGACATTTGACCTTTGAAAACCCAACTGACGTCTAGAGGGACAATGGAGCCACGTGAATCTGCTGCTGGACCAAAATGCATCAAGGAGCCCCGGGAGAAGCTACAAAGGAAGTGGGTCTCTGAGCCCTCAGCTGGCACAAAAAGAAGCACTTTCGCTGACCCGGAGGAAAAGAGGCACTCACATCGCGAAAGCATTCAAAGTGGTGCCAGTGGCAGCAATATTACTGGCTCAGCACAAAAGTATGGCTCTGGGAAGCTGCTATCAACTGCAATGGGTCAGTCATCTCAAGATAGTCAGTATGCACAGGCTTTCCCCCGTACTTACTCCTACCAGTTACCACAACCGTACCCACAGCAGCCCATGCAAGAGCACTTCCTGTCCGGAGCCAAGCCCCAGCCCGGCCTGGAGGCCCATGCCTGGCCCTTCGCTGGACAGCTCCCTTCCGACGACATATTCCCTGGACACTCCCGTGCCCAAGGAGTCTTCCCTCGTCAGAAATCTCCCAGTTTACCCAGTTCTTTTGGCCAGTATTCCCAGTCAGGGCCGGAGCCGCCAGAGGAGGGATACAAGAAGGAGCAGAAACCCAAGAAGCCAGGGAAGTACATCTGCCACTATTGTGGAAGGGCTTGTGCTAAACCCAGCGTGCTGAAGAAGCACATTCGTTCACACACTGGGGAACGCCCCTACCCTTGTGTCCCCTGTGGGTTCTCATTTAAAACCAAGAGTAATTTGTACAAACACAGAAAATCTCATGCCCATGCCATCAAAGCGGGACTAGTCCCATTCTCCGAACTAGCAGCTTCACGCACAGACATGGATCAGGCGTCCTCAGTGGGAGAGACAGAGGTACACTCAGACGGTGAACAGAGCACAGACACCGATGAGGAGACTGCAGAGGCCTCCATGTTTATGGACAAAGGCAGCCCCATTCCCCAGATATCATTTGAGATGGACAAAAGCACAATGGAGAAGGGTGGGGAGCCGGCATATGCTGATTCAGCTGAGGAACTAGCTATGGCTTCCATGAAAGTGCCTATCCTAATTGTCCCAAAACAAGGGGTCCCGCCAACAGCAATGGAGTGCCCCCCATTCACGGAACTCAAGGCTTCTCACATCAGCTCCCAGGTTGGCCGCGTGGATGACTCTCCCACTATCAAACAGAGACTGGCTCTGAGACTGACAGAGAAGAAGGGATCACAGGACTCAGACCAGCAGTCCCATCAGTCCCTGCACCTCCTGAGTCCACACAGCAAAGGCAGCACAGACTCAGGCTACTTCTCCCGTTCAGAGAGTGCAGAGCAACAGATCAGCCCTCCCAACACAAACGCAAAGTCCTACGAGGAGATCATGTTTGGTCGGACCTGGTATTACAAACCTAACTCTGCTAGATCTAGACAATCCATTGCAGTAGGCATGGCCACTGTTGGCCAAGACACTAACATAGTAATGGGGAAGATATCTGAGGATCAACTACTAGCAGGCGTTGACCCTAAGCAGTATCCCACAGGCCCTTGCCAAAGCAACACAGGTCTACTAGAGACTCCTGATTCAGGGACACTCATTAGGAGTAACTCAATGCCAACATCCTCCCCGACCAACCTCAACGTCCCACCGGGAATAAGAGTGAGCCACTCCTTTGACGAGATGATGACCTCTGATGACGTCTTCTACCCGGGTGCTGCCGGTCTGAGGAGGCTTAGGAGACAGGCAGCTTTTGAGCATTCAGCACATGAAGGGCATGGCGACTATGAAACTTATGGACACGTTCCCAAGAACGCAGCCCAATCCGTGGCGTTAAAGCTAGGGGAGCGCAGTCCTGTGGTGCCAGAGCATACAGCATACAGCCCTTATGGTACTAAAGTGGGAATGACAGAGATTGCCACTCGTAAACGCAGGAAGGAAAAGAGTGTAGGAGATGAGGAGGATGGCCCTGTCCAGTACGACAGTAGTTTTAGTGGCTCAGTAGATATGGTCAGGGATTATGATTCAAAACAAGGTAGTCAAGAGGGTTCAAGGGGGACACCTACTGGAAAGGGATCCATGGGATCTATGTACAGTGCACATAGCCAATCAGACAGTTTTGAAACATGCTGTAGTAGTATGTGCTCAGAGGACGTAGTGCTAGTCCCAGACTCTGACAGAAAGGCAGCTGGCAACGTTATCTCTGTCATTCAGCACACCAACTCACTCAGTAGGCCAAACTCCTTTGAGAAGTCAGAGTCCTTCGAGCACCCAGCCTACCTGCAGGACAAACCCTCCAGCCAATATTCAGAGCAGTCAGATACAGAGAACATAGAGGATGTGCAGAGCCCAGAGTCTAACCTAAGGTCTGAGAGCATGGAGCAGCAGCAGCAAAGAGACAGTGATTTAGTTTCATCCAACCAGCCCTGTCACATGCCCCCCAAACTGGTACGCCAGTCTAACATCCAAGTGCCTGAAATCAGGGTGACAGAGGAGCCAGATAAACCTGAGAAAGAGCCTGACGTACTGACCAAGGAGCCGGAGAAGCACGTTGAAGAGTTCCAGTGGCCCCAGAGGAGTGAGACACTGTCCCAGCTCCCAGCGGAGAAGCTGCCTCCTAAGAAGAAGCGTCTGCGTCTGGCAGACCTGGAGCACTCCTCTGGGGAGTCCAGCTTTGAGTCCTGCACCAGCCTGTCCAGGAGCCCCAGCCAGGAGAGCAACCTGTCCCACAGCTCCAGCTTCTCTATGTCCTTTGACAGGGAAGAGAGCTTAAAGTCTGTGTCACCTTCCAAGCAGGAGGACTTTGGCAAGCAGTCTGAGTACAGCGGCAACTCTCTCACTATCCCAGGCCATCAACAGCAGAGGGAGATGCGACGCTCCTCGTCAGAACAGGCTCCCAGCGCTCTGCCCACCGAGATCCCAGAGATCCGTAGCAAGTCCTTCGACTATGGCAGCCTCTCAACATCATCCAGACAGGGAGAGGTTTACTCCAGTGCATCAGCCATGAAAGATCGGAGACGGGGCTACCTAGTAAGGCAGGCATCCCTCAGTGTTTACCCTGAGACTGTGGTGCATGAGCAAGGTGGTCTCGAAATTACTGTCAAGCAAGAGCATTCGGACCATGGACCCTCATCTTGGCAGAGCCCCCCATCCTCTCAAGGTTCTCTCGGTGCATCAGCCAGCGAAGTAGCAAGACCCAAGAGAGGGTCACATCATCATCTTCTGCAACAGAGCATTAGTGAGGACAGCCAGGACGACCCACCACTGTTCCAGAAGTCATCTCGTCTGCCAAGTCAACAGTCATCAGAGGGAGAGCATCCAGGTCACGAGCTCATGAGCCAGGAAACGATGCAATACTCCTCACTCCAGAACAGCTTGGCTTCACTGCCTTTCCTGCCATTTCAGCCTGGTCTGTTCTGGCATCCCGAGTCCACACAGAGACACAAGCAGCATCTGGCTTTCCAGCCACACCAGTTACAGAAACTACATATCAGACAGCCTAGTCTACCACACATGCTCCAGAAATCCCACCCACCTCTTAATCAGCTACAGCAGATCCAGGAGCAGTGCGACGCGAAGGCTGAAGGTGCTATCAGTCAGAGCTATCAGTATCCCTCCAGAGCCTCCCCCCAGGCCCAGCATTACGGCTCTCTTCCGTCTAAAGTGGCCCTCACCGAGAGCACGGTGCTCCTGCAACAGGTCCAGCCAATCTTCGCCACTCAGAATGCAGGTTCACAGTCATCTCTCCCAGGTATGCTAGTCCCCGTTAGGATGCAGACTCAAGTGCCATCTTACGGAAGTGTTATGTACACAAGTGTTTCACAACTCTTAACTAACCACGGCCAGAGCACTTATTCAGCAAGAGTCATATGCTCAGACAGTGTATCATCCAGTTCACCAACAGGTGGCACTGTTTCAAAGCACGGCGTTGGCTTCAACTTATCTCAGATCCTTGGTCAGCCTGAGGGAGCTCTACGTTATCCACTGTGGAATGTTCCGGATCTGAACACTGAACACGGGAGACTGAACACGGGAATTCCGCTGTCGTTGACATCAGGAACCATCTCCACCACGGATGCGTCCTCCAGTATTGGGGGAAGCAAGCGGATGCTATCACCGGCCAGTAGCCTGGAACTCTTTATAGAGACCAAACAGCAAAAACGGGTCAAGGAGGAGAAGATGTACGGTCAGATTGTAAAGGAGCTAAGCGCTGTCGAGCTGAGTGCTTCGAAAGACAGCAGCACGTTACCAAAGCGCGCCCCTCTGAAGAGCGAGGGTTCAATGGATGATCAGGAGAGGATGTCCTCCTCCCCACCAGCAGACTTCCCCTCCACCAAAATCCCAGTGCGTTCTAATGCACCTCACATACCTGATGTGCCACCAGCTGACAGCTTCACTCCCCCTCTGCAAATCGTGACGGACTTCCCTGGTGGCAGAGAGTCCCCAGAGGAGCTGGACGTTGATGACTCCTCCACCCCAGAGGCTAGCTGCAGCCCACAGTCCATGGTCTCCTCCAGTGACACTCCAGGAGAAGCCAAGCCACCCATGGGCAGCAAGATACCTGTCAACATGCTGGTGCAGCTGGCTGCCAATCAGAGTGGGGGCGCTGCTGGAAGCACTCTACTGCTCACAGATCTGGCCGACATTCAGCAGTTCTTTCAGTTCCCCAGTCTTCGCACGACAACCAGTGTCAGCTGGTGCTTCCTGAATTACACCAAGCCAAACAACGCTCAGACGACTCCCCTGACTTCTGTCTACGGCTCCTGGTGCATCAGCTCTTACAACCCCAACCCTCTCAGTCTCAGCACCAAGTCTACTCTGGCCCTGCTCTGCTCCAAGCAGAGGAAGAACACAGAAACCTACACGATGGCTGCTATGTATCAACCCGGGACTGGAAAACTTGTGTCCTCTCTTGCTTGGAAGCAGAAGTTTGAGCAGGTAGTCACACGTCACATACAGTATGTCTCTTATTCATAGTTAATGTATTTATTGGTTAATGGGTGGTTAACGGTTGGTTACTAAATAAGTATTCAAGTTTTAGAATTCACATGCTGTAGAGAGTTTGAAATCCCCTACAATATTAGAAACCAATCTGGGATAAAAGTCTATTTTGAAGCCGACATTCCAGTACTGTACATCTGCCATCAAGTGTTTTTGTCTGTTTGTGAGGATTTAACTGAGTGTTATGCATGTTTTTCATTTGCAGATGAAGCCAGAGCTCATGCAGCTAGATGTGAGCAAATATGGGAAGAAAATCAAGGGGCTGAGTGCCAGGGATCGAATCAAGGAGGACCACGGAGAGAAAGAGGCCTCCTCAAAGCAGGCTGAGCCCACTCGCATCAAAATCTTTGAAGGAGGGTATGTGAAGATGGCTGCCATTAGCCATTCAAATTTAATTGAAAGCATTTTAATATCAGTGTGGCACCTTCTCGAGAGGGCTGCTTAAATGTGTATATTGTTGTGACTTTTACACAAAATGTACAGTTTTATGGAAGGCAGAAGATGAACAGCACTTAAATAGGTTGGATTTAATGCCTGGCGGCTGAAACCACTTCTTCAGAGCAAAATATTATTTGAGAATGGTAATACAATGACTGTGATAACTGGAATTTAAGTATTACTTAAATCACTTTACATTTTTTATGACTTCACATTTATTCACTAGAGGGTGTTTTCTGCAGAAATGTTATAGATTTAAAAAAAACACAGGATGGATTTTTCAGATGGATTTTAATTGTGGTTGAAAGGCGTTACTAGTATAGGCTACAGTAAAGCAACGTTTTGTTGTTTAACAGCCATGGTATTATTGACTACTGTGCATGAGGCTACTGTAACCTCTTTGCGTTGGAGCAAGCAATAGATAGATTTCCAAATGAGTTTTTCAATCATCTGACATTTTTTCAAAATCACATATCTGGAATGTCCCTTTTATGATATTACAATGTACAGTGAGAAAAATGTACAAGAATTACATTTCATAAATGGGAACAGCTGTAAAAATATCTCTGACCAATACCCAGTTGAATTTGGCACCAGAATTATTTTCTCTGAGCAGTAATAGGCAAACTTTCCCAATGTAAAGTGGCCTGTTTGATGTATTTGATATTTGCTCCCTTAACACATGCTTCGATTATACTCAATATCCTCCAATAACGTTGGAAAATCTGGTCTTCTTATGATTTCAGGTACAAATCCAATGAAGACTATGTTTACGTGCGGGGTAGAGGAAGAGGGAAGTACATCTGTGAAGAGTGTGGAATTCGTTGTAAGAAGCCAAGCATGCTGAAGAAACATATCCGCACACACACCGATGTCAGACCATATGTCTGCAAGTTCTGCAACTTTGCTTTTAAAACTAAAGGTGGGTTTCCTTCTTCCGCTTCATATAACCACATATATGCAAATGTACACCTTCCTTCTCAAGTAATTGAACCTGATAGTTCAAACATAAACAGTGATCACACTGGAAAATGATTTATGTAGAACTGCAAATAAAGACTTCAGTCTACATTGCATTAGGAGAGTGGCAAGGTTCTCTCTCTGCTGCAGTAAAGTGTTGATGAGTTTATTATGCTGCTTCCAGTAAGACTTTTTAAAAGTTGTAAACTCTGGTTTCAGGAAACCTGACAAAGCACATGAAGTCGAAAGCCCACATGAAGAAGTGCTTGGAGCTCGGGGTGTCAGTGACATCTGTGGAGGATGCAGACGCCGAGGAAGCTGGTATGAATCAGACAGACTGACTGAGCACATTGTGTAGAGATGAGCCAACATTTGATAAATACTGGGCCCTGTAAGTTGCACTGGTGCGGTTCTTGAGGGACAATTATCGTAATGAAAAACAGGAGCTGCCTCTCTGTCAGGTTTATGTAAAATAACCAACTTTAAGATACACAGTTCACATTTTCCCTGCTTGAATTCCACCATTCTGCATAGAGTAGAAAATAACTCCAGTGACCCATTCAATCCAATTGAAATAAATTGCGGTTGCTGGAAAAGATCTGTAAACGCATAAATAGAAGAAGTCCTACTGTGTTTTTATATCCCATTTCCTTGTTAAGACTGCACTAAATGCTGTTTATTTGTCTTGCAGAATAAAGTAGGTTACTGTTATTTCATTTGCATAGCGTTTGACTGGATCAATGGTTGATTTACCAATATGTTTCTTTTTAGACAATGGCGAGGATGGCCAGAGGGAGTCTGGGAAGATGTCAGGCATCATGGCGGACCACCAGTTCTCAGACGCTGATGATTCTGATGGTGGCGAGGATGACGGGGATGAGGTGGATGACGATGAAGACGATGACGACGATTACGATGGCGACTCCACGCCGAAAACGCGCTCCAGAAGCACTAGCCCTCAGCCCTATGGCATACCGTCTCTCTCCATCACGGCTGTGGCAGCCTCTCAGAGCGCCTGCTCCTCAGACCTTCTGGGCCACGGCTCCAAACCGCCCCTCTTCAGTTACTTCACCAGCCTGCCCAGCATCCAGATCACCCAGCTCATGGTGCCCAGCGAGCGTGCAGGCCAGGGCCAGATGGCAGAGTACCAGCGTCTGCTGCAGGGCGCCCTGGGCGAGGACTATAAGAGCAGGCTAGACGTACCCAGCTCCATGGACGAGGACTTTGGCTTGTCCCCAGATCACAGCTCCTCCTCCTTTGACCTGTCCCCGTCTCGCCTCTCCTCCCCAGGCCTGGACTCCTCCCCTCTCCGAGAGCCCTCCCCCACCACCTCCTCACGCAAGTACCTCTCCCCCCGACGGGACCTGTCCCCCCGTGGCCGCCTGTCACCCCACAGAGAGGTGTCCCCTCTCAGGCACATCTCCCCCAAGAGAGACATCTCCTTCAGGAGGGACCTCTCGCCCCGGAGGGACCTGTCCCCCAGAGGTCACCTCTCGCCCCTGTCCCACGCCGGACGCCCCACGTCACCGGGCAGGGACCTGGCGGGCAGGAGGGAGCTGTCTCCACGCAGTCACCACCGGGGCATGATCAGACCTGTCTCCCCCAGGAGGGGCATGCACCATCACAGTGCCCCTTGGAGTCTGGGCCAGCACCTGCACTCAGAGATGGTGCCACTGGGCCAGCGCAGCAGGAGCCACTCAGAGATGGAGACGGTAAGTGTTCTATTCTATTTTATTCTATTCACACTGCACTTGAGCCACCATGAACAGCTCCTTACTGACTGTGTGTTAACTAATGACTCACAGTATTAATAGTAGTGCCTTATAGGATGGTAAATGGTCTCTGCCTTCAACTGTCTTAGAGATTCTAACTTAAAGTTAAAGTACAATGGGCTCATGAAGGACCACCATAGAGTGCTACTCTTGCAGTATCTGCAGGAATTTCTATGTATATATGTGGCTAATTAAGGATCCCTGGGGAAAGAGGTCAAATACAGTGTGTATTATTCTCTTCTCCCTGCCATCTGGCTTGTTTCCATGGAACTCAGTGATATAAAGATAAGGCAGCCGTAGCTTGGCTCATCACTCAGTGGTTAATAACTGCTGTTTTTCTTCTTAAGAGTCTTGTTAAACCCGACTTTCCAGGAACCCCAGTTTAAATAAAGCATGACATGGAGCCTGCTTCAGCTGTATAATTTTCAAATATTCATATTTTACTTATTTTTAGCTGGTAATAGTTTTGTCGTATGTGAGCAGATTTTTCCTGCCTTCTCAAAATCCATTACAATCCCTCTTTTCCTCATTCACAGTTTCTCAGTCAGTACAAACCTACAATTTGAAGTGTTAGCACATTATACATAATTAGATGCTTTGCTCCATATAATTGTGACATTTCAATTGTTGAATATTCATATTTTTCAAGCTGTTCAATTGTTGAACTTAAATTGAAAAAAACAAAGTACTTTCAGAGATCATCTGCATACTAAGATCCACAGACCCTATTGATCTACGACCACTATACTTTGTGCTGAATTCACCTTGTATTTTTTCAGGATCAGAGAAAGGGTTCCCCTCCCCACAGCAGCCAGGAGTCCCCACGGCCCCACCAGGGCCTGTTCAGCCACCTCCCCCTGCACTCCCAGCAGCAGGTCCGCACCTCCTTCCCCATGATCCCCATCGGCGGTATCCAGATGGTGCACTCTGTGCCCACCTCAGTCACCGGCCAGGCCCACCCCACCCGCCTCCCCCTGCAGAAGAGCACGTCTGAGGAGTCCAGCACCAGCGAGGTCTCCTTCCACCTGGCCGAGGGAGGAGGAGGGTCCAGGGGTTCGTCCGACTTGCCCCAGCGCCAGGAGAGGATGGTGTCATCATCCACTCCCTCTCGGGGGACCCCGGTCCCCTCCACTGGCACCTCTTTACCCTGGTCAGGAAGTCGCCAGGACAGCGCAGACATGTCAGACAGCAAGGACAGTAAGCAGCAGGAGGAAAGCATACAGACTTGTACCACAGCTATCGCCTCGCTCCGCATCGCTACGGAACATGACACTCTGGAGAAGGGCATGTTGGCGTGCTCTTCAGACGCCCATCAGAGACACCCCCCCCCACTGCCTCACTCCTCTCACCCCCCTTACCCCAGCCCTCAGGAGAGAGCCCCCAGCAGGATTCAGCACTTTAGTGGCCTAGAGGTTAGGCAGTCCCCGGACGGCCGCTCGGCCTCCCCTCTCCCCCTACACTCCAGCTCCAGCTTGGAGACCTCCCTGCCGGCCACATCAAAGGGCCCGGCGGGTTCCGCGGCAGGCCCAGGCCACTGTGCCAAGGAGAGGTCGCCAGGTCAACAGAGCCCAGGGGAAAGACCAGCAAGCACAAAGAGAGGCAAAGATATATCAAAGGATGCCACAGAGAACAGGTGAACATTGTTAAAAAGGGAAGGACGTGCAACGTAAAGACATCAACCCATACAATTGCACACACACACACGACACGCATACAGAGAGACAGACATTTAAACACACACACACACAAACAAGTCTTTAAACAAGCAAATTAAGTAGATACTCTGTAGTTTCAATGTATATGTATAGCATGCCTTTTATAACCTGGTTTGCTATTTTAACAATTTCTTATTTAAAGTTTCAGAGAATATACATACAGTATGTTAACTTATATATGAGCCTGACCAAATTGCTTATGGACTCCAGTCTGGTACTTTTAAATGTACAGATGTGCCTTTTCTTTACTTTCTGCTTATATTCTTATAAGCATATTAAGCAGGAAGATATGTTAATATATCAAGTTTGTGTATCAGCTTTGTAATAAATGCAATTTCCCGTCTTTTTTAGACACTTGAGTCTGAATGATGTGAAGTATCAATATATGTAAGGTTGCACTAAAACATATTTTTATATGAGTGAAATTAAATGGCTTTTGTGTACAGCAGCAATTCTATAATACTATTTATTGTATCATGTTTCATAAATTGTACATTTTTCTTAATGTTGTGGATGCCTTTTCTATGTAAAGCATGGGTTTTGCTATGGCATAATTAGAGCAAACAATATGTACACTGTAAAATGGCTTTATATGTTAGAAGTATTTATATACACCTAAGTGAATGCACTTTACTTGGAGGTATATACATATGATAAAATTTACCAGAATATTTACCTAGTATATAAATATATATATATATATATATATATATATATATATATATATATATATATATATATAGAATATATATCTGCACTTAGGTTTTAGATTGACACCCACATACAGTATGGTAGTTAGTTCTAAATGCTTGTACCTTTTTCTCTCCTGTTCGCTGGATTGGCTACACTAGTTGTGATTTTTAATTTTTTACAAAAAGTAGAACTGTTCAGCATTAAGTGAATCAATGTGCTTTATTTTTTTGTTTTCATTCAACGCTTACTGACGTAGTAGTGAAATATTAAAGATAGTTTGATCTTCTGTGAATCACGTTGCTTGAAGTACTTGATTTATTGATTAGTATGGGGAACATTCCAGCTGATGTAAATATTGAATGCCCATGTATTTGTACACACACATACACACACACATATACACACAAACACACACACACACAGACACACACACATAGAGAGTAGTGAGACACCAGTGTGTTACCAACGAGGAGACCCCAGCGGCATACACACACACAGTCATACACATTTATCCATGGAAAGAGTTCATTCTGGGCAATGACATCAGTTCATCAAAAAAAAAGTTTCAAGGCTTGTAGACACAGATATCCAGTACTCTGAAAAATGCACCTTATTTGGAATCCAGTTGCTTTTAAAACCCTGTTTGCGAATAAACAACCTAAACGAATGAGAGCATTCAGCCAGTGCACTCGTGTGTGTATATCTGTATTTTGTATGGTGTGTAGAAGATCTGTGTAATTTACTCTTTGGACATTTTTGACAGTAGTCCCTGGTATTCACATAACTGTATTAACATGTCTTTAAAATCTAAGGTATCAAAGCACAAATCGTTGTATAGAAACAAAAAAAAAATGAAAAAATGTTAAACATACATAAAAAGGGTAACTTTGTGATGTTCAGTGGAAAGTACAATATCATGGAAGACCCCAGTTTCAATAATGAATCACAGTGCAGGTGGAAATAAAACGAATTGTTGTTTTAAAATAAATACGACTACAATAAAATGTCCTTGATGCTTTAATTCTTTCCAAATACTTTTGGACCTCACCGTATGTGGACACGTTTGCAATATCACGTAGGCCTACAGTACATGACCTGCTTTACAGTATATGTCCTACTTTACAGTACATGTCCTACTTTACAGTATATGTCCTACTTTAAAGTACCATAGGCGCAACAGGAGTCAATGCACACAAAACAAGTGTAGGCCTTTGGTAAACTTAACTCAGTTATAGCTCTTCTGTAAAACCTGAAAGAGCTCTCCAGTTGCTAATTTTAGGCTATCACTGTCATACTTCGTAGAACACATAGTTACTTCCCTTTGGTTTAATCCACTCTGACACAACTAGGTTGGTTATTCTCACTAACGTGTTTGTCTTTCAGATCACTTGGAAAGATACTTTGATCTTAGGGGTATTTTAGTCTTGATTAGTTTTGATTTCTTTACTTTGAAAGTAATTCTGTTTACGGAAATTGCCATGGGAATTCTCACCATAGATGAGAATTAACTCAGACCTATTTTTGATTGTCAGATTGTCATCCTCATGAATATTGCAACTGACAAATTGTTCTTATTTACTCAATAATACATAATTAAACTCAAGTAATCAAGTGCTATAACACTAAATGGGTATCATTGCAAAAATGTCCACTAATGGTGTTACACTCATCATGTAGAGATTAACATGTAATAAATGTTGGGATTCAGGTAGAATGTTTAAATAGGAATGCATTAAACACAATACATTTTAACCAGCCACCAAATGTCTATTGGTTGTTTCCTATCCAGGCGTGCGGGTGCAGTGGCATGCTGCTGTGACAGTTGTAAGTGAGCACGTTCAATGTATTATTTTCCTCACACCTCCATCAGGGTGGCAGGCAGGCGGTCGGTTGACCGTCCGACCCGAGGACATGGCTGTGTCACCCAGACACCTGCCATCCATCTGCCCTTGTCCTGTCTCTTCATGTCCAACCCTCTCTGATGAACGACTACCACAGACAGATCAGGATGGCAGGACGGGCCGCTGGAACCAGCCTCTGAATATAACTAAGCATGGCCCAGAGGTTTTTCCTGGTCAGGGAAAACTCCTGGTCCTAAATATAGGCTACCTACTCTCTATTGTTCTCTGACAGACATTTACAGTCGTCATTGATTTAATGGGTTAGGCGTGTACTGTAAATACATATTTTGATTTGTTTGAGAAATCCAGTGCCCCTCCCTTGTGCCACAATCACCCACTTCACCCTTTGTATTGAGTGGTTATTGTGAAATGTTTTTTGCAAGAGCCACATTAGGTATGGGTTTAGGGGGTGTGCTATAGCATGACACTTAGAATATAGATACATTTCAGATTATCTCTTTATGTTTTTGCTGTGCTGTGTATGCAACAAAGTGTGTATGATCAATGTATTTTTTACAATGTATAATTTACAAAGGTCTCCTTTGTAAATTAGGTCTTCTGACCTCAACTGGACTTTCCTGGATTTAAAAAAAAGCATTCTATTTAGAATTGATGAGTTGTCAAGCCATGCAATTGTTTTGTGCAGTAAACAAGCTGTCTAAAAGCTGTCATATTTAGCCAGAATAGTCACTTATCTAATTTCAAATTGGTCCTTTGCAATCACCATCATGTAGTACTACATGGAAGACTGCAATTTGTCATCAAGATGTCTTCCAAAGAAGTGGTGTGTGCCTGTTTTCCTGGAGAGGCATCTGGTTGGAGGAGTAAACAGCTTTCCAATTTTAAGTGCCAGGAAAAAAAAGAAATAAATTAAAACCATAGCCTCTCAAATTTCAATTTTTCAAGGATCGGGAAAGTTCTTCTGAGCACTTGACAGGAAAAACTGGTGTCATTAACAACCTCAGACGGAAACCACTGCGTGGGAAATCATATACAGTTCCTTCGGAAAGTATTCAGACCCCTTGACTTTTTCCACATTTTGTTACGTTACAGCCTTATTCTAAAATTGATTAAATATATATTTTCTCTCAACAATCTACACACAATACCCCATAATGACAAAGCGAAAACAGGTTTTTAGAAATGTGTGCACATTTATTAAAAAGAAAACAATTATTTACATAAGTATTCAGACCCTTTGTTATAAGACTCGAAATTGAGCTCAGGTGCATCCTGTTTCCATTGATCATCCTTGAGATGTTTTTACAACTTGATTGGAGTCCACCTGTGGTAAATTCAATTGATTGGACATGATTTGGAAAGGGACACACCTGTCTATATAAGGTCCCACAGTTGACAGTGCATGTCAGAGCAAAAACCAAGCCATGAGGTCGAAGGAATTATCCGTAGAGCTCCGAGACAGGATTGTGTCGAGGCACAGATCTGGGGAAGGGTACCAAAACATTTCTGCAGCATTGAAGGTCCCCAAGAACACAGTGGCCTCCATCATTCTTAAATGGAAGAAGTTTGGAACCGCCAAGACTCTTCCTAGAGCTGGCCGCCCGGCCAAACTGAGCAATCGGGGGAGAAGGGCCTTGGTCAGGGAGGTGACCGAGAACCCGATAGTCACTCTGACAGAGCTCTAGAGTTCCTCTGTGGAGATGGGAGAACCTAACGTAACAAAATGTGGAAAAAGTCAAGGGGTTTGAATACTTTGCGAAGGCACTGTACTGTAACTGTACTGCACCTATGCGTGATGGCTTCACCAAAGAGGAGATAATAAAGTGTGTCAGCACCATTGGAATATGAACCATAACAACATTTTTCCAAATTGGTGTTCAGAAACTGTAATTCAATGAATGTCAGTGCAAGACACAGACGCATAGGATTATAGAGTCTATCTGCATAAAGCTAAATAGTGTACACAACAACCCATACATCCATTATGTCCTTAATTCATTTCAATCACTGCACTACATAAAGGCTGGGTACACTTTACCCTAAATAAAAGTCAGCACTGACATAGAATATGATATATGAATGTACGAATTGTTTTATTGACTCTGGGCTAAACTGCTTTGAGAACATTAATTGTAGACATGTCATAGAGATATACTGCCATCTGTAGGTAAAATAAAGTAATTCAGCTGTGTAGAAAACCTGGTAAAATGTGGAGGGAAAAGTATTGTACTGCAAATTAAGTAGACAGGTTACTATCCTCTACTAGTCAGCACCTCGCATGTATTTCGTCTTATCCCCTTACATGACACTTTAATATTTTTTCTTTCATGAGACACGTTTTGAATCATTTTGCATCACTTCTAACTAGATTATAATACCTAAAAAATGACTGCAATTACAAACTTAAACAATGCATCCATAATGTTGTTGTTCAAAAGAGCCCAAGGCAAGACAATGTCAAACATCTGTCCCAGTTACTGAAAAATCACTCCAATGTCCCTCATAAGATCCCAGCCACTGCACTGACATGAACTTTCCAATGTTATGTACAGTATTGATTGAGTCTGACTCTGATTGGGAGCAGCTCTCTTTCCACAAGGTAGAGAGGTATTTTTATTGTTCAGGCTGTTTGGCTGCCTCCCAGATGGATGAGGCTCCCTCTCTCTGGCCCTGAGCTCCAGGCTAGCTGATAGGGGACTGGAGCCACAAATGGTCCGCATGGGAACTCTGAGTCATAAACGGAACCAGATGTAGGGCAGATAACATAAGTCTCTGAGTCAGACTAATGTTATTGTTTACGGTAATCTCTCACATTGGTGATGATATGAGAGCCCAATGAAACTGATACACAATCGAAATATGTAAGAGAGCAGATTGGGGGAATTATTGTAATATCTGCAACCTGACCTGAATATTCTTTTAACACTAAATGTATTTTATGGAAACAGGGTTTGCCGGCTTCTGTTTCCAAGAAATGTGGTCCTCTGCATTTATTTACGACAGATGTCCCAGTCAAAAATTTTTCCCTTAAAAAACGAAAATTTAAATATTTTTAATAATAGTTGTTATATTAAATTTTTAAAGGGGCTTTAAAAGTTTAACCCTTAAAAAAAATTTTTTTTTTGAAACCAAAAATTTGAAAAAAAAATTTTAAAAAAGAAAAAAACCCCCTTTAAAATTTTTTTTTTTTTCCCCCCCCCCAAAAATTTTTTTCCCTTAAAACCTTTAATTTTTTCTCAAACATTACTAATTTCTAATTAAAAACTAAATGTTTTTAAAAAAAACAAGTTTTTCAAAAAAAAAAAAAAAATTTTCCCCCCCCAAAAACCCCCCCTTAAGTCCCATGTTTAAATTTTTTTTTTTCCCTTTGGGATTCTCCCCGGGGATTTTTTAAAAGGCTCTGTTTTTGGGATTTTTCCCTTCTTTGGGTTGTAAAGGAAGTGACCCCCCCCGGGGGGAAGGGGGGAAAGGAAAAGGGCCCAAAATTTAAAAAACCCAAAAATTTTACCGGGTTTCCCTTTTTTGGGGGGCCCCCTTTTTAAAAAACAAATTTGGAAGAAATTTTTATTTTTGCAAAAAATTTGGGGGGAAAAGGGCCTTGCCAAAATTTTTCCAAATTTTTTTCCCTTTTTTTAAAAGTTTTCCCCCCCCCCAATTTTCTCCTTTTTTTTTTTTTTCTCTTTTCCCAATTTTTTCTTTTTTTCTTTTCCCTCCTTTCCTAATTTTTTCCCCCCCCCCCCAGTTTTCTTTTTTCCCTTTCTTTTTCCCCCCCACCCTTTTTTTCCCCCCCCCCAGCCCCTCCCCCCTTTTCCTCTCCCTCCCCTTCCCCCCTCTTTCCCCCCCCTTTCCCCCCCCCCCCCCCCCAAAAAAACTACCCCCCTTTTTTTCCCCCCCCCCCCCCCCCCCCCCCTTTTTTTTTTTTTTCCCCCCCCCTTTTTTTTTTTTTTAAAAAAAAATTTTTCCCCCCCCCCTCTCCCCTTTTCTTTTTCCCCTTCCCCCCCCCTTTCCTCCCCCTTTCTCTTTTATTCCCTTTTTCCCCCCCTTTTTTTCCCCGCCCCCCCCCCCGGGGGGGACCCCCCCCCCCCAAAAAACCCCCCTTTTCCCCCCCCCCCCCTTTTTTTTCCCCCCCGGGGGGGGCCCCCCCCCCCTTTTCCCTTCCCCCCCCCCTCCCCCCCCCCTTTTCCCTTCCCCCCCCGGGCCCCCCTCCCAAAAATTTCCCCCGTTTTCCCCCCCGGGGGAAAAAACCCCCCCCCCCCCCCCCCCCCCCCCCCCCCTTTTTTTTTTTTTTCCCTTTCTTCACCTCCCCCCCCCCTTTTTTTTTCCCCCCCCCCCCCCCCCTTTTTTTCCCCCCCGGGGGCCCTGGGCCCCCCCCCCCCCCCCCCTTTTTTTTCCCCCCCCCCTTTTTTTCCCCCTTTTCTCTTTTTCTCTCTTCTCCCTCCCTTTCTCTCCTTCTCTTTCCCTCCACTTTTGGGGGGGCCCCCTTTTTTTGGGGGGGGGGGGTACTAAGAATAAAAACTCATTTCTAGTTATGCGTGCGAAAAGGGGAACTTCCAAACGCAATCCCATAATAAGTATTTTAAGTTATTCGGATATAGGAAGGAGATTTTGAATGGCTCTTTCTGAGAAGGAGAGCTGTTTTTGGTGTTTTTGCATCATCCATTCTGTAATGTGGCACCGTCTTAGAGAGAACACTATGAGTTAATTACTCCGTAATTAGGAAATGGTAGAACCGCATAATGGTGGGTTTGGAGCGATGGCCTCTCCATACCCTGATAGCCTCTAGTCACATCAGATGATGCTCTCTCTCTCTCTCTCTCTCTCTCTCTCTCTCTCGCTGTCTACAGTAACTGTTCAAGTCCACATAGTTATCCCCCATCCTTGGGTCTGGGAAGACTCCTTGGCTTGTACTCTGCCAGGCTGGCTTTTCACCATAACTCACCGCACTGACTGAGCGTGTGCGAAAGGTATCTAAGGAGAACAAGATGGCCCAGAATGCCTTTCGTTTGAGTCAGGCCCTGTTAAATTGTGATCACATTCACAGCTGCCACCGTTAGGAAGATTTATTTGGAAACATCGGGGGAAAGAACAACGTCAATTCTGCCGTGATGGGCTTGAAAAAGGGCATGGGCATGCTGAACATACTGACAGGTTACTTTCAATCAGATGGAGGGAGCTTGTGGAGGACAGGGCAGGGCTGTCTGCTTCACACCGGGACGACCCTCTCTCCATTAATCCAGCCCTCTAAATCAGTCAGCAGCATCACACCATCACCACGCTGTCTCTCTGTCTTCCCACCGCCACCGCTCCAGGTCACACATTAATGACATGTCTCAGAAGAAATCTGGATAGTAAACCTTTTCTTCTCTCCTGTGACAGGTCCTCGCTGGGTTGTTTATGAGGAAAATGGAATGCGTTTAAAAAGTGAAGAAGGTGTTGCCGCAACACTTTCCAAGGCCTTGTCTTCTACTCTGTAGTATGTTACAGTATTATGGGATGGGATTCCTGGAGCCATGTCAGTTTTAGTCAGAAGGAAGGGAGGGGAGGGGAGAGCAGCCCAGCTGTCAACTTCAGAGAGGTGGCCAGAACGCCCAACATCTCTGGAGATAGACATAACACAGAGGAAACAACAGAGCCAACACAGAGATGCGCTGCCCAAAGTGGGTTGGAGAAAAAGAAGAGGAGAGAGAGGGATGTGGGAATGGAGGGATGGGGGGGGGGGGGGGGGGGGGCAGGCAAGAGATGAAGCAGAGGGGATGATGGAGCTCAGTGAGACAGAGAGGACATATGGTTGAAAAATCTGTTCCTGATTACATCACTACACTCTCAGGCCACATTTGGTTGAGGTATGCCCAGGGAGGGAAGGAGGAGGGAGGTGGAGTCAGGGAGAGAGGGAAGGAGGAGAGAGGTGGTGTCAGGGAGAGAGGGAAGGAGGAGGGAGGTGGTGTCAGGGAGAGAGGGAAGGAGGAGAGAGGTGGTGTCAGGGAGAGAGGGAAGGAGGAGGGAGGTGGTGTCAGGGAGAGAAGGAAGGAAGAGGGAGGTGGTGTCAGGGAGAGAGGGAAGGAGGAGGGAGGTGGTGTCAGGGAGAGAGGGAAGGAGGAGGGAGGTGGTGTCAGGGAGAGAAGGAAGGAAGAGGGAGGTGGTGTCAGGGAGAGAGGGAAGGAGGAGGGATGTGGTGTCAGGGAGAGAGGGAAGGAGGAGGGAGGTGGTGTCAGGGAGAGAAGGAAGGAAGAGGGAGGTGGTGTCAGGGAGAGAGGGAAGGAGGAGGGATGTGGTGTCAGGGAGAGAAGGAAGGAAGAGGGAGGTGGTGTCAGGGAGAGAGGGAAGGAGGAGGGATGTGGTGTCAGGGAGAGAAGGAAGGAGGAGGGAGGTGGTGTCAGGGTGGGAAGGAAGAAGGAGGGAGGTGGTGTCAGGGAGAGAGAGAAGGAGGAGGGAGGTGGTGTCAGGGAGAGAGAAGGAGGAGGGAGGTGGTGTCAGGGAGAGAGGGAAGGAGGAGGTGGTGTCAGGGAGAGAAGGAAGGAGGAGGGAGGTGGTGTCAGGGAGAGAAGGAAGGAGGAGGGAGGTGGTGTCAGGGGGAGAAGGAAGGAGGAGGGAGGTGGTGTCAGGGAGAGAGGGAAAGAGGGATAGAGAGCGAGAGAGCAGGTCTAATCTCATTGACGTGTGTTTGGGCTGGGGTACAGGGTGGACTTGGCCCCGTCTGTCTGTTTGTTATTCTTAGAGACACGTTGTCGTCATCCACTCCACATTGGTGGCGTTTCAAAATGTCACACTGTGTTGCAAAATGTAGACCGTCAGCATACTGACTGATGCCTCCACCCAAACAATGATCTGAATGAGAGAACTGGACCAAACCAAGAATGAGTGTGTTTAATACATTGTGAGTGAGGAATGATGTTATGATTATTAGCAATAACGCAACATTCACAAGTGATTGCTCATTCTGACACATCAGTGAAACTGGGTGAAATAAAAACACAATATTTTACACACTTGTGGCAATACCATTGTAACTACATGATGTTTACATTTGTACTTTAACCAAATGGGCGAAAGACTGCTCATGAAAATGTTAGATTTAATTGACATTTGAATTTCAAGGCCAAACCAGTGAGGGCAATTAGTGATTATTTTTATTCATAAAGGCAAATGATCGTAAATGATAATCAGAACGACCAAATACAAGTATTTCTGTACATTTTTGGTGAATTAGACAATTTAGCCTCAAAACAATCGTCCAAGAACTCCCAAGTTCTCTCCATGAAACCAAACCTCTAGATATAGGCACAAAAGTTGTAAAACATTTGAAGTAGCAACCTAGAAATGTATGTTTTTCTGGTTGCATAATTACATGATTCTACAAAGAAACAACATCAGTGATCCTTTTCTTAACCTATGCTTAGTACTGTTATTTTATTCCATCCATAAACGGTGGATGTGGTAAGTTTATTATGGTTACTGGAAAAATGTGGATAGGTAAGAAATCGGTTGTGCAAAGGCCCAAATAGGCTAATCCCATGCCACCGCAAAGCCTTCTGCTGTGGTGATGCCGGGAAAGCAATTCACTACAGACAGTGGATTATTTGTTTGAGCATACACACATAATGTCTTTATTGTTTTGTTGAGCCTGGAAAAGAAAGTGTAAATATGCCATTGCAAAACCAATGCTTTTCAAAGTATAACTGTTTTGAGGTAGTAATACTGGGGATCGTTGTGGTGATAAGGTTAGAGTTCAATAAATCAAAAGAGAAATGTTCTAATGGTTATGAGTAATGGCAAGCCCCTCAGTTGATATTGGAAGATTGCCCCTCTTCAGCTGATATTGGAAGATTTGCTGCTGAGATCTCTATCCAGTCTATCAGGAGTCTGGTCTAGATGCATCCATGTCTCCTAAGGTATTCACAGATACTGCTAAATTGTCTGCTTTCAAATGAATTATACAGGACGAGCTCAAAAGTGTGTTTTTACTCAATTATACTTTATACTTATTAAACAAAAAAACATTTACTGGCAATTCCACTTCCCTTCTCTCTCCTCCCGGTGCTTTCCAGGGGGGCTAATCGGTAATAATCCCATTTGATTTCTCTCCACACATTGCTTCCAAATCCCACAGTGGACCACGAGAAGCAGGATGTGGTGAGGCTCCTGTAGATATGGCCATTGAGACACATTTTAATGTGGTCTCTCTCCCAGTGCTGTGTTTGATTGTGGCAAAAAGGGGCACTGGCTTTGGGAATGCCATTAGTCTAAATCCTTCAACATGATGGGCCTGGCAGCTCCAGTAGACAAACAGGCACAAAGAGCCCATTTCAAGTCTAACTCCACCGTTTTCTGTTCTATAATCATATGTTCACGTTACTCAGGGGCCGACACTTTTCTCCGTGTATATCAATGATGTCGCTCTTGCTGCTGGTGACTCTCAGATCCACCTCTACGCAGACGACACCATTTTGTATACATCTGGCCCTTCATTGGACACTGTGTTAACAAACCTCCAAACGAGCTTCAATGCCATACAACACTCTTTCAGTAGCCTCCAACTGCTCTTAAACACTAGTAAAACTAAATGCATGCTTTTCAATCGAACGCTGCTGGCACCCGCCCACCCGACTAGAATCACCACTCTCGACGGGTCTGACCTAGAGTATGTGGACAACTACAAATACCTAGGTGTCTGGTTAGACTGTAAACTCTCCTTCCAGACTCACATAAAGAATCTCCAATCCAAAGTTAAATCTAGAATCGGCTTCCTATTTCGCAACAAAGCCTCCTTCACTCATGCTGCCAAACATGCCCTCGTAAAACTGACTATCCTACCGATCCTTGACTTCGGCGATGTCATTTACAAAATAGCCTCCAACACTCTACTCAGCAAATTGGATGTAGTCTATCACAGTGCCATCCGTTTTGTCTCCAAAGCCCCATACACTACCCACCACTGTGACCTGTACGCTCTTGTTGGCTGGTCCTCACTACATGTTCGTCGTCAAACCCACTGGCTTCAGGCCATCTATAAATCACTGCTAGGCAAATCCCCGCCTTATCTTAGCTCATTGGTCACCATAGCAGCACCCACCCGTAGTCTGCGCTCCAGCAGGTATATCTCACTGGTCATTCCTAAAGCCAACACCTCCTTTGGCCGCCATTCCTTCCAGTTCTCTGCTGCCAATGACTGGAACGAATTGCAAAAATCTCTGAAGCTGGAGACTCTTATCTCCCTCACTAACTTTAAGCATCAGTTGTCAGAGCACCTTACCGATCACTGCACCTGTACACAGCCCATCTGAAATTAGCCCACCCAACTACCTCATCCCTATATTGTTATTTATTTTGCTCTTTTGCACCCCAGTATCTCTATTTGCACATAATCTCTTGCACATCTAGCATTCCAGTGTTAATACTATTGTAATTATTTTGCACTATAGCCTATTTATTGCCTTACCTCCATAACTTGCTACATTTGCACACACTGTATATATATTTTCTGTTGTATTTTTGACTTTATGTTTTTTTTACCCCATATGTAACTCTGTGTTGTTGTTTTTATCGCACTGCTTTGCTTTATCTTGGCCAGGTCGCAGTTGTAAATGAGAACTTGTTCTCAACTGGCTTACCTGGTTAAATAAAGGTGAAATAAAAAAATAAAAATAAAAAACAGGGTAGTGTGTGGGTGTTGGAAAAGAAGAGAGAGCATTGGATCCTTCAAAAGGTAAGGAAAATCATTTTATTTAGTATAAACTAAATTTGAATCAATTATAATATTGGCTGAATCGCATAACTAATCTCTATTTTAGACTAATCATTGAATATTTAGTAGAGATATTAAAGGGACACCACCCAAAAAAACACTCCACCCCCCCAATAAACATATATTGCCATAATGGTCAGGAAGTGTGTCAGCTTACATCAGTCTCACCAAAAGCAGCAAATTGGAATCTAAAGGTCACGTAATCAGTAACTGTTTTTTTTAATCTTATGGTGTGTGAAACATTAGCGCTTGGGAGAAAAAATGATGCACTTACAAGGATTGTCAGCTAGGTGGAGTTGTCTCACTACTTACAGGAGAATTGTCATTAGATTCTACTGAGATGTATTCGAGTCAGCACACTCTCTGCCTGGCCATGGACTGCTCTTCAAAGGGAGTGAGTAACAGTGCTGGGTTCTCTATCCAACTTTCCACTAAAGCCAGAAAATAAAAGGTGGCACAAATTCCTGTTGGCCATAGGTTCTCTCTGCTCTTGAACTACTTATGAGGAACACAACCTTTTGAGCATAAACGTACAAATAAATACATATTCAGATAATTGCATATGCTCTGATACCAGTGGCGGTCAGTGCCTTTTCGTTTCATGAGCATGACCTTATTTCTATTACAGCATATTGGACGACTCTCATAAATATTCCATTCACCCAGTTCAATGTAACAGCGATAGGTTTAGGCTACTACATGATACTCAAAATTTCCCTGTACCCTTTCATGAGGTTGCTACAACCTAGCCTATGAATGAAAGTTTACAACAGTGGCGGTCAGTGTCGTTTAAGATGAGGGAGGACAATATTTTTTTCATGAGCATGGCCTTATTTCTATTACAGCATGTTGGATGACTCTCATTCATATTCCATTCACCCAGTTCAATGTAACAGCGATAGGTTTAGGCTACTTCATGATACTCAAATGTTCCCTATACCCATCATGAGGTTGCTACAACCTAGCCTATGAATTAAAGTTTACAAAGTAGGTGCACACAGGTCGAGAGACAAATTTGAGGTCACAGACAGTGACACATGGACAGACAGTGACATTCAATACCGCCTTGCACAATCTTGCCTGCATCTAGCTAATATAGGGTGTAATCATTAGTACAACAGTTGCAAATGAGAGTTTCTATTGGACAAATTCAGGTATGTTTATCCCCGTTTTCTTCCGTTTGCTTCCATTTAAGAAATGTTTTTCAACAGAATCGGCGGAATGAATACACCCCTGATCACGCGTAAACACAGTTCACTTTCATAGCAGCCACTTTGTATTCCTTGTCGCATCTATGCACTCTCCTCCTCTCACCTCTTCCCTTCGCTTGTGGACTTCAATGCCAACACATCAGCTGTATGTGACCAGGCGAAAAAACCTTTCCAAGCCAAACCGCTACACACAGCCTACATCGTTGTCACCATATTAGCTAAAGTAACGTCATAGTCAGCATAGCTAATAGAACTAACGTGTTAGTAAACCCGCTACAATCATGCAGTAACGTAAGCAGTTACACCGGCGGGCCCTGGTGGCAATGTATTAGTAAAACCAAAAGCTTACCTTGAGTTGTGTTGAAAAGTCATAGCCAGCTAGCTGAATCGCATCCCTCTGTTTGAGCAGGGTGTTTCAGTAAGCTAAACTAGCTAGCTGCATTTGCTAGCTAAGTAAGTGAAACTGAAAGTGAAGAAAAATGACGGAATCTCTCTCTCTTGCTTCTCCTTCATTTTGGAAGAAATTAAATTGTCTTTCTCTCTCTTTGAGTCAACTACTCACCACATTTTATACACTGCAGTGCTAGCTAGTTGTAGCTTATGCTTTCAGTACTAGCTAATTATCCGATCCTTTGATTGGGTAGACAACATGTCAGTTCATGCTGAAAGAGCTCTGATAGGCTGGAGGACATCCTCCTGAAGTTGTCATAATTACTGTGTAAGTCTATGGAAGGGGGTGAGAACCATGAGCCTCCTAGGTTTTGTATTAAAGTCAATGTACCCAGAGGAGGACGGAAGCTAGCTCTCCTCCGGCTACACTATGGTGCTACCCTACAGAGTGCTGTTGAGGCTACTGTAGAACTTCTTTGCAAAATAGTGTGTTTTAATTAATTATTTGGTGATTATATTTAGTATAGTTTTATCTAAAAATGATAACTTTTTAAATGTTTAACTATTTAAATGTTCATGAAATTTACTGAGGAGGATGGTCCTCCCCTTCCTCCTCTGAGGAGCCTCCACTGTCTGATACTTTTAACTCTTCTCTATTTTGATGTGATGTACAGTATGCCAACTTTGTGGCTGTATGGAGGTGAGTAGTGTTCAATCTCTCAATATGAAGCATGTGAACCTTGTGTGATGTGTCACTTAATTGTGATTAATTCCAGGTGCTAGAGTGGGGTGGGGTTTTGCATTTAAATGCCCAGTGTTTCCCTGTGTCCAGCAGATCCCTTTTTATTATTTTTTATCCATGTACAGGTTGGCGGTTGCTGGGAGGACAGTGTGGCTAAAGGCGTCCGCGTACATAGGTTCGGTATGTTTCTAGCAGAACTTGGCTAGGCGAAACAAACGTCTGTGCTCGCATACATTATTCCCTAAAGACCTTCACTTGAAAAATGAGAAAAAAGTGGCAATATTACTGTTGTTTGTTCCTTTTGAGCCACTGTAGCAACAACATACACTTCCTCAAAATAGGCTGAATTTATTAAGATAAATAATTTATTTTAGACGTTTTTGCCAAGGAGGTCTTAGACGCACAATTTTACATCTAACTAAGATGTTTATTGCAGTATTTCTCAAGTGAAAAAAATAGCATGAAGACAAGTGATCTCTTGTTGAGTGACAAAACACTTCATGTTCCCACTCTTACTAGGAGTAGTACTGTTGACCAATCACTGACGAAAGAGGCGTAGACTTCGGCTTCCGAACTTGACTTGCCTCAATATTTTTTGGGGTGTACAAACAGCTGAGAAAAACCCCTGCCGAAGACCAAACATATAACAAAAACTTCACAATATGTATATGCAAACTGTTTCAACTGGGAAACTTTAGTCCAACCCTGTTCCTGGAGAGCTACCATCCTGTGGGTTTCACTCCAAACCCAGTTGGATTCAGCTTATCAACCAGACAATTATTAGAATCAGGTGTGGTAGAGTAGGGTTGGAGCTCCAACCTACAGGACAGTAGCTCTCCAGGAACAGGGTTGGAGAGCCCTGCATTAGTCCATTTGACATAACAACTTATAATCACAATTAGAGTAAGTGCCTTGCTCAAGGGCACAGCAACAGATGTTTTACCTTGTCAACACAGGGATTCAAACCAGCGACCTTTCAGTTACTGGCCAAACACTCTTTACCACTAGGCTACCTGCCGCCTGTAGTCCAAATTCAGTGAAACCAGATTGTAAGTGTGCTTGCGGTGTGAGATCCCATCTCCCTCCAGATCCGTTCTCCTTCTCCCAGGACATGCCCTCCTCAGTTTGCACTTATTTTTTGCAATGGAAAAGCGTTTGTTTATTTTCTGTAGGTCTTAAGCAGAAATATATAGCAGCCATAAATCAACGTATAAATATCCAATAATCAATGGAGCGCTCCGCACACAAAACATATTCGGCCCTGTCGCTCATTCAACTAGCTATCCAATAACAATATTAAACGTTAGCTTTACAATAAATATCAGTAATTACAAGTGTAAACAACTGAGGAGGGAGTGCCCTGGGAGAAGGAGAGAAGATCTGGAGGGAGATGGGGTCTCACGCAGCAAGCACACTTACAATCCGGTTCCACTGAATTTGGACTAAGCCACACCGTCCCTGCTCTCGTCCTCCCAGCGCACGCCAACCTGTGCATGGAGTAAAGAGATCTGCTGGACACAGGGAAAGACTAGGTATATAAAAGAAAAACCCTGCACCCCTACTGACAGGTAGCACCTGGAGATAATCACATCTTCATGACAGATGTCACACCTGCAAGAGTGTCAAAAGCAAGAGGTAATTGTAGAAACCAATACAATTGATGAAATATCTCCCTTTGGCTTATATTCTAGAAATAGACACACCTGTGTGCCAAGGAGAGGGTGTCAAAGAAATATGTGCAAAACAATTTTTATCCTTGAACATTTTTAGTAGACACAGTCAATGCTGTGGATTTTTTTTACAATCTTCCATTGAGACTGATGTCATTCTAGGCAGTAAAAGTACATTCTTTGGACCGTTTTGTCTAGTACTGTAGTGGTGACACGTGTTTTCAGTCTATTCAGGAGATCATACAGTGGCTTGCGAAAGTATTCACCCCCGATGGCATTTTTCCTATTTTGTTGCCTTACAACCTGGAATTAAAAGGGATTTTTGGGGGGTTTGTATCATTTGATTTACACAACATTCCTGCCACTTTGAAGATGCAAAATATTTTTTCTTGTGAAACAAACAAGAAATAAGACAAAAAAACTGAAAACTTGAGCGTGCATAACCATTCACTTTGTAGAGCCACCTTTTGCAGCAATTACAGCTGCAAGTCTCTTGGGGTATGTCTCTATAAGCTTGGCACATCTAGCCACTGGGATTTTTACCCATTCTTCAACCGCTCCAGCTCCTTCAAGTTGGATGGGTTCTGCTGGTGTACAGCAATCTTTAAGTCTTACCACAGATTCTCAATTGGATTGAGATCTGGGCTTTGACTAGGCCATTGCAAGACATTTAAATGTTTCCCCTTAAACCACTCAAGTGTTGCTTTAGCAGTATGCTTAGGGTCATTGTCCTGCTGGAAGGAGAACCTCCGTCCCAGTCTCAAATCTCTGGAAGACTGAAACAGGTTTCCCTCAAGAATTTCCCCGTATTTAGCACCATCCATCATTCCTTCAATTCTGACCAGTTTCCCAGTCCCTGCCAATGAAAAACATCCCCACAGCATGATGCTGCCACCACCATGCTTCACTGTGGGATGGTGTTCTCGGGGTGATGAGAGGTGTTGGGTTTGCGCCAGACATAGCGTTTTCCTTGATGGCCAAAAAACTTAATTTTAGTCTCATCTGACCAGAGTACCTTCTTCCATATGTTTGGGGAGTGCCTTTTGGCGAACACCAAACGTGTTTGCTTATTTTTTTCTTTAAGCAATGGCTTTTTTCTGGCCATTCTTCCGTAAATCCCAGCTCTGTGGAGTGTACGGCTTAAAGTGGTCCTATGGACAGATACTCCAATCTCCGCTGTGGAGCTTTGCAGCTCCTTCAGGGTTATCTTTGGTCTCTTTGTTGCCTCTCGGATTAATGCCCTCCTTGCCTGGTCTGTGAGTTTTGGTGGGCGGCCCGCTCTTGGCAGGTTTGTTGTGGTGCCATATTCTTTCAAATTTGTTATAATGGATTTAATGGTGCTCCGTGGGATGTTCAAAGTTTCTGATATTTTTCTATAACCCAACCCTGATCTGTACTTCTCCACAACTTTGTCACTGACCTGTTTGGAGAGCTCCTTGGTCTTCATGGTGCCGCTTGCTTGGTGGTGCCCCTTGCTTAGTGGTGTTGCAGACTCTGGGGCCTTTCAGAACAGGTGTATAGTGAGGGAAAAAAGTATTTGATTCCCTGCTGATTTTGTACGTTTGCCGACTGACAAAGACATGATCAGTCTATAATTTTAATGGTAGGTTTATTTGAACAGTGAGAGACAGAATAACAACAACAAAAATCCAGAAAAACGCATGTCAAAAATGTTATAAATTGATTTCCATTTTTATGAGGGAAATAAGTATTTGACCCCTCTGCAAAACATGACTTAGTACTTGGTGGCAAAACCCTTGTTGGCAATCACAGAGGTCAGACGTTTCTTGGAGTTGGCCACCAGGTTTGCACACATCTCAGGAGGGATTTTGTTCCACTCCTCTTTGTAGATCTTCTCCAAGTCATTAAGGTTTCGAGGCTGACGTTTGGCAACTCGAACCTTCAGCTCCCTCCAAAGATTTTCTATGGGATTGAGGTCTGGAGACTGGCTAGGCCACTTCTTGAGCCACTCCTTTGTTGCCTTGGCCATGTGTTTTGGGTCATTGTCATGGTGGAATACCCATCCACGACCCATTTTCAATGCCCTGGCTGAGGGAAGGAGGTTCTCACCCAAGATTTGACGGTACATGGCCCCGTCCATCGTCCCTTTGATGCGGTGAAGTTGTCCTGTCCCCTTAGCAGAAAAACACCCCCAAAGCATAATGTTTCCACCTCCATGTTTGACGGTGGGGATGGTGTTCTTGGGGTCATAGGCAGCATTCCTCCTCCTCCAAACACGGCGAGTTGAGTTAATGCCAAATAGCTCGATTTTGGTCTCATCTGACCACAACACTTTCACCCAGTTCTCCTCTTAATCATTCAGATGTTCATTGGCAAACTTCAGACGGCCCTGTATATGTGCTTTCTTGAGCAGGGGGACCTTGCGGGCGCTGCAGGATTTCAGTCCTTCACGGCGTAGTGTGTTACCAATTGTTTTCTTGGTGACTATGGTCCCAGCTGCCTTGAGATCATTGACAAGATCCTCCCGTGTAGTTCTGGGCTGATTCCTCACCGTTCTCATGATCATTGCAACTCCACGAGGTGAGATCTTGCATGGAGCCCCAGGCCGAGGGAGATTGACAGTTATTTTGTGTTTCTTCCATTTGTGAATAATCACACCAACTGTTGTCACCTTCTCACCAAGCTGCTTGGCGATGGTCTTGTAGCCCATTCCAGCCTTGTGTAGGTCTACAATCTTGTCCCTGACATCCTTGGAGAGCTCTTTGGTCTTGGCCATGGTGGAGAGTTTGGAATCTGATTGATTGATTGCTTCTGTGGACAGGTGTCTTTTATACAGGTAACAAACTGAGATTAGGAGCACTCCCTTTAAGAGTGTGCTCCTAATCTCAGCTCGTTACCTGTATAAAAGACACCTGGGAGCCAGAAATCTTTCTGATTGAGAGGGGGTCAAATACTTATTTTCCTCAATAAAATGCAAATCAATGTATAACATTTTTGACATGCGTTTTTCTGGATTTTTTTTTTGTTATTCTGTCTCTCACTGTTCAAATAAACCTACCATTAAAATTATATACTGATCATTTCTTTGTCAGTGGGCAAACGTACAAAATCAGCAGGGGCTCAAATACTTTTTTCCCTCACTGTATACATACTGAGATCATGTAACAGATCATGTGACACTTAGATTGCACACAGGTGGACTTTATTTAACTAATTATGTGACTTCTGAAGGTAATTGGTTGCACCAGATCTTAATCAGAGGCTTCATAGCAAAGGGGGTGGATACATATGCACGCACCACTTTTCCGGTATTTATTTTTTAGAATTTTTTGAAACAAGTTATTTTTTAAATTTCACTTCACCAATTTGGACTATTTTGTGTATGTCCATTACCTGAAATCCAAATAAAAATCAATTTAAATTACAGGTTGTAATGCAACAAAATAGAAAAAACGCCAAGGGGGATGAATACTTTACTTTTGCAAGCACTGTACATCTCAACTTTCCAGTGCAAATGTAAATGTTTATCTGCCCCCAGAGAAGGAGGTAAGACAGTGAAAATATGACATTACAGTCATAGTCACTGGCTCCTGTTATCTAGGTATCCATGCAGAAAGCATGTAGCACCAGCTGTACCACTGGTGCCAGGATCATTCATTTGGAACCATCTGTATTGGGAACACACTTACTGCAAGTGTCATTAGAATTAGATAGTTTGGTTAGGTTAGGGTTGAGCCAGGGTGTGAACATGAAGTTAGGGTTAGGGTTCAGGGTTAGGGTTGAGATGTGGTGTGGACATGAAGCTAGGGTAAGGGTTAGGGTTAGGATTAGGGTTGAGGCTAGGTTCCCAGCTCAACTCTGACCCTCAACCCTAAACCTAACCATAGCTTCATGTCCACACCCCGGCTCAATCCTAACCCTAACCATTAGGGTTACGCCTAGAGTTAGGGTTGAGAACGGGTGTGACATGAAGTTAGTGTTAGTGTTAAAGTTATGGCTAGGTTTAGGGTTATGACCATGGTGTGGACATGAAGCTAGGGTAAATGTAGCGTTAGGGTTAGGGTTATGGCTAGGGTTAGGGTTAGGGTTGAGCCGGGGTGTGGAGATAGCGTCAGGGTTACGGTTACAGTATGGCTAGGATTAGGGTTGAGCCGGGGTGTGGACATGAAGCTAGGGTTTGGGTTCATAATGCACAATGTGCAGCCCTGATAGGATAAGATAGGATATCAATGCACATTCTCCAAATTAGGTGTGGGGTCGTTCCATGAAATTAGTGCCTTTTGCCTTTGACATTTTAAGTTAAAATTGTGCACAAATACTGCATTTTAAAAGACTGTTATACTGTATTAAATGAAGTGCCCTACAATATAGACCACATGGAAAATTCAATAAATCAGATTATTTATATGAATAATAAAGTTTTCACAATCATTGTAAAGCCCTACTTATTTTGTTGCTTTGACAAAAAGTCATTTCTGAAGATTATTATTTATATTAAAAAATACTGTCCCTCATTTTAAGGTCAGCCCTGTTATATGGTGAAACTATTCCATTTTAAATAATTTTTTCAAAAGAAACATTGAACATATACAGTAATAGTCAAACAGAGCAGCCAACTCTCACACATTGGCAGAGAGACACATGCATTTGACCCTCTTCTCACGCTCTCACGGCACACCTCTTATATCTCACGCATTGAAAAGTACTGCTTTTATTTTTCTAATTAGTCCATTGTATAGTGAGCGCGTTAACTTTTCAACTGTGCTCCAAATCATTTTGAAATCGGAGCATCTGTGCCTGCAATTTAACATCACGAGCTGAACCTCTATCATTGTCCTGTCTTGCCACAGCACTGGGAACAGCGGCAATCAAGGGGATTGGATGCATGTGTTAAAGAAACGGCCCTCAAGATTAGAGTGGAGCTGAATAGAGCCCCACAGTGGAGGTGTCATAATACCCATAAAACCTAGCGGTCAAACAGGGAAATGGTTCCTATGGTTTTTCCACCATTCATTTTTCCCATAGGGGATTTCAGAAACATCACGCCAGGGTAAGCCTACACGAAACACAGCCCTTATTTGAAGTGTTTCTAAAATCCCCTATGGGAAAAATGAATGGTGGAAAAATGATTGGAACCATTTCCCTTTTTGACCACTTGGTTTTATGGGTATTATGACTCATACTGTGGTACTCTAGGGAGAGAGAACGTTCTCTGCTAAGTTTATACAACTCTAAAAAGAGTAGCACGGTAGTGCTGTTTTATGTACAATGTTGTCAACAAAATTAGGTTGCTGTTACTCCAGTCCCTATTGTAGAACGCAGCCTTTTGACAGCATGTACTAAAGTTGATTTAATCCACACTTGCATTAGTCCCCTCATTTGGTGATTGGTGTTTAGGCTGTGACAACAAAAGGGCAGCAGACAGACCTACTGTAAAGTATGTTTTAGCAGGTTTGGTAGGGTGACCTGATTTGTAACTATGAAAATAATTTTGTCAAACAGATTGTGAACCTAAAAGTGTACGTTTTATTCTATAGGGGGGTAAATAAATAGAAAACTAATTTGGTTAGGGTGTAGGGACAGATTTATGTCATATTCAGGAGATTTGATTATTGATTTACTTTATTTAGTCCGATCAGTGGAACAATTCTCATTCTTAACAATGGGTTAAAATATATGGTAATTACTGTGTCAGCAAGAACACTACTGTTATTCCCCACACTTATTTTATTATTAAAAAGGTTGCCAGTATATTCACATATTTTAAATCTGATATGGCTACTTGTGTCTTTTTGTATGAGGCTATGTATTTTTGCAGCCATTCATGGACAGTTTTGAATAAGTCATACAAATAAGCATTGGATATTAAATGCTCCATGAATCAAATATAATTTTTGACATTTTAGTATTGCGCACATGCTAGGCAGAGATGGTAGGGGTACTCACGACTCATAAACACATCATATTTTGTTTGTGTCCTTACCTTGAAAACAGTCTATGGACAAGGAAACTGCAATCTAGGATTTGGTTACCCACTGCCATCAACCATTAATATAAAAATGTTACTTTCAATTGAATCCCCAAAAATCTCAAAGTAACAAAGGTGTTGAATTTTGAGTGTTAATTTAATGTTCAAAGCATCCTGAATACACCTGACCTGTTATTAGCCTGGTCAAAATACGTAGAATTGCAGGAAATTAGGTTTAAAACAGTACCATTTTTCATCTAGGGGTTGTGCCAGGCGGCAATGAAATTCACATTGCAAATCTCACTCCAAGCTTTCTTCAAAAGTTGGCAACCCTGAGACAAATCATAGTGTAAAAGCCGGTGAGCTGGTTCTACTCCTTTTCTCCATTTGCTGGTGTTTTGTGGTGGAAAACTGAGCTGGTCGAGCATAAAACAGCAACCCTGTTACCCATAGATAGACAGACTAGAAATGTTTTAACAATTTAAAATGTTTTGTGAAGCTTGCATTCAATTACCACTCCCTGTTGCACACAACACACTTTCAGTCCTCCTGTCACAAGGGGATTTATGGCTGGTTTAAGATGAAGTCGTCGACCCTGTTACGGTCAACCCTGTTACTTTATTTGGCACTTAATAGGTACTTACTATAGGATTATTAATTTTTTACTTCTTGAGATGGGAAAACTTGTTTTTTATTAAGTTAAACATGTGCTCTTTATGACAGAATGTTAAAATAAGATGCAATAAAATGTTTTTTCCCCACCAAGTTACACTACTCAAAAGACACAGAATTGGTGGAACGACCCTGTGGTTGTGTGACTGACTGATTGTGACTGCCCTGGAGTGACAATGTGTGGACAGTCTAATTGTGGTTGGAGGTCAATGGAGTAATTGTACTCAGGAAATGTGAGAATATCCTCCTAAGCCCAAAGCTGTCATTTACTAAATCACCCAATAATAATTTATCACAGGTGGTTGTCATGATCTGAGTGAAATGGAGGGAGCCATCATGCTGCTCTAATTGCAAGGAGATTATCATCCACAAAATCTTCAAGTTCTGCCAGTCAGTTAAGTCTGAATAATGATCCTAAGAGATGATAAAGTTTTATCTTGACTTAGTGAGATTAAACTTGAAGCCAAAATTCTATTAGACATTTTAACAGACAGCCTTTGTGATTTTATTGATTTGATCAAAAACATTCAACAGAGAAAGAGAGAAAGACGAAAAAAAACATGTATAAAACAATTCCTGAAATGATGAGAAATGACTGTGAAGTCCCCTGAGCCAGTAGATAGTGTAGATGTCACAACACCAAGGGATCACACCTATGAGTCACAACACAAAACTGTCCCTTACCCATACCTCTTAAAAATAAAATAACAGTTTCTTTCTGCCTTTCCTTTGATAAAAACATAACAGTAATCTATGCCCTTTACTTTGTTTTTACATTCTGCACGCACTGTTGAGATATCCCTGCAGCGCTAACCCTGGGAGCCTAAGTGAGTGAGTGGCCATATTTACTGACAGTCGATGAAAAACTGTTCATTAAATCCCTTCCGCAGATTTTGGGGAAGAAAAGTTGGGCTGAAAAGTCTCTGAAGTTTCTTTCCTCCCTCTTCATCCACTCTCACCTCATCTCACCTCAAGTATCTAATTGCTGTAGCCAGGGGCACACTGAGCAAAGATGTTGTTTTGTGTTTCGCCAAGCCTTTAATTATCTCTCCTGAAGATAAAGCTAAGCCTAATCTCAACTAATGAGAAGTCTAAAATTCTGCTAAATGGGAGTGAGGGTGGGAAGAAATAGCCCCCGTGGTGCGACTCGGAATACATCAGTATACACCTACTGTGATCATGTTACAGGCCCCATTGAAGAGCGCTCAAGGAATCTTTCACGCAGAGGGTCTCTAAGGATTAGGTTACTCACCAGGGTCACCTTCACAGTTTATATTGATCACACACAACCCCCAACAATGATGTTGGGCTTTGATAGGATCAAAATGTGATGTATAAAAGAAATAAACACTCTAACATACAAAAAGCACAGGTTAAAGTGTAGAATATGTGAGTACTGTCAACTATTTTGAAAGCAGCAAAATTTTACCCAATACCCTGGCTTAGAGCAATTATCAACATGTCTGGAACACAGATGTGTCAATTGAGATGTTTCAATTGACTCTTTATTGTTTTAATTAAAATGTTGGTTTACCACAATGGGCTTCCCTTGGTTTGGCTAAAATACAGGGTGCTAGACAGCTTCCCCGTATGAAGTTGAGGGGTTTCCTCCCAAATACTTTTTTTTTCTAGCTCCATGGACTTTGTTCTTTAGACCTCTCTATGCCAAACATAGCCTCCAAATCCACTGCCTGCTGGGAGTCTGACAACCAATTATTCCGCAGTTCCCATCACACTAAAACATCTTCTTTCCTAGTTATCTGGTTCTGAAGTCATATCAGGGCTCTAATCTAGTCCCACCTGGCTTGGACTGTGACAACATCTTCTGCACACCTTATGGTCAGTGGGAGAACACTTTACAGGATCAGAACCATCTTCTCTCAAGGTAGCTCTTTCCTGCTGTATGTTATCAGTAACTGGCATGCCTGCAGCACATGGCAGAGGTGTACAACACACACACACACACACACACATGTAGGGCTGTTGTCCATGTGTGGGACTCCGTGGGGGTAGCCCTGGGAGAGAAGAGGCAGCAGTAGTGACAGAGACAGAGTCTGGGAAGGAGGAAGGGAGGGTGTGGTGGTGCTTGAGGTGTCTGAGGTACTGCTGCTTAAGACCAGACCAGAGCAGAGCCTGGGACTGACTCCAAAGCTTCTCCGAGCTCCACTTCTCACTGGTCGCTGCTTCTGGATCTAACTGCCTCTCGCGTATCTCAAAGAGAAATTGTCACTATCTTTTTTGAATTTGGAGCTGTTTGTACTCACAGCTGTTTGGAACATTGGAACAGAATAATGGATCTCACCACTTTTTACTTCCTGGCCACTACTTTGGTTTTGATGCTGGAGCATGAAGGTAAAGACTTTTCTCCTGAAATTTCAGATTTTTACATGATTATTGAGCGCTTTTTGTTTCAATTGGAATAAAGTGTGTTTTACTATCCTGTGGGGTGTAATTGTTGCACCTAAGCTGAGGTTTAATAGAGACAACATGTAGTAGGTAAGTGAGCCCTCATGTTGGCCATGCCTGTGAGCAGATGCCTGTCTGCTTTCTGCCTGCTTTTATCTCTGTCTGCTTTGACATGTTTTTCAAAAGAGCAGCTTGTTCAATTTGATTTATTTTGTCTACTGGGAACTGTACAGCCTGTTTTATATTATTTTGACAACTGTTATTATGAAGGAAATGTCCAAATCCCCTGCTCAAGAGTTACAATATTCTGTATGCATACGCATAATTAACCTCTGATATAATCTTTGCTGCTGATGCAATGTTGTGAACTGATATAATTTTTGTGCTGATGTCGAATGAGGACAGTGTTCTGTAGTACACGTTTCAAAACAAAGGGAAAGGATAAAACAATGGATAAAACATACCTGTACTTTACAACTTTGGATGATATCATATATGTACAGGCAAAGGGAAATGGTGAGGAGAAATGTGGAGATTCTGACAACCCAAAGGCCTTATCTACGCTTGAGACTGATGTCCTCCTTGACCATAGGATTTATGTGCGAGCTAATGTAAACCTCAGTGTTCTGATTAAATCCCCAACCTGGCCCTTAAATTACCAGGGACACCTAAATACCATATATTAATCAGAGGGAAAAGTCAAAAACACCTACAGACTCCTCGATCGAAGAAGGACAAAACTGATAATCTTATGTCAGGACACAAGCAAAAATAAGAGGTAACTATCTAGAGATAAGTACTCTCTATAGATACTGTATCTCGAGATAGGTAATATCTCTAGATCAGAAGATACAATGCGACAGGTGTTCACAATGGGCTATTGTTATATCATGAAGCGCTTTTGAGGAATTTGAACGACCCATTCAGCATATTCAAAAAAATATACTGCCCTTTTGGTCTGAATATTTCTACTTTATGTGTTGCTGTCCATGTGTGCTGCACATTCCCTTAGGAACCACAGAACAGAAGTCAGTTCTATACCCGGGCCCTCCTGGCAACCCCCTCACTCCTGTAGAAGGCTTTAGCTGGAGGAAACAGGGATTCAGCTCTGGTGGTGAACTTACATTTCACAGCACCCCAATGATCTGAACCAGGAAAGACATTCACCATAAATGTCAATCCAAATCATTTGGATAGAGAGCTTGTAGATTATATGTCAAAGTCAAGACATTATGAAGGGAAATAAAAGTCCTCTCTCATTTAATTAGATGAGTCAGGGAATTCAGGAGCATTGGTTAACATGGATTATTATTATGGATTTGATTAGACAGATACTTCTAAAAACAATTTCCTGTGTCATGGTTAACTAGGCGTTGTTAAAGTACACTCTTTGGTTTATTGTTTCTGATACATGATAATAATAGTTTAACATTGGTTAGTTCAGCAATATCTGGAATCCATAAACCCCGTTATACACAGCACCACTGTTGCTTGTGGTACTATGCCACCCAAAAAGAAGATCATATGTATATACAAGATTACCAGGGATAGAATCTGTGGTAGGTTATCCTGTTATATCCAGAACTAATCTTGTAAAAACACAGGGCCAGGGGCTCTGACAATATTGCCTCAACATTCTGCCAGAGACGGTTTTTGCACTAAAGGGGTGGGTATGGATTAAATAGTAATCTCATGGATGTATTTGGCAATCAACTCCTGAATCTCTAAAGCAGTGAACGCTCACTTCTCCAAACAGGTCGCTAAATTAAATTTTGCTTGGCAATCGCATGGCATCTCAGGAGGCATGCAAGGCTTGTAGTGTAACATTTCCATACTAAGTGCCAATACCGTACAATCCATGGGCCGGGCATCTGTTCTGCATTGAGGAGTCTAAAGTAACAAATCCACTATAAAAAAAAAAACAGTTTCCTGATCAGGAGATGATTTACCTCAGCTATTTACGTCAATCAAATCTAATTTACGTAAATCCCTCAACACCTGTATGATCAGACTCTCTATTAGGGGTTTTTCAATGAGACTTGTTTATGAAGAGCTGAAGAGGACCATTTGGGTGTACAAGGGAAATCTGTTTTCATTCAAGTGATAAAAAGCCAAAGGCAAGCCCAGCTATCAGAAGCTGCACTCGTGGCTTGCCCCAGCAGACGCCTGAATGCACTAGAGGAACTTGTGCAAGGTACAATGTGGTCCGGCACTGACTCATTGGGGTGAACCCAAATCCACATGGCATTTGGGATTCTCCACTACTTTAGTTTTATAACACGTTTATTGAACTATAGTCTTTTACAGGGTGTAACAGTTTGATACAATTGACATAAGAAAATGCAAAGCTGTGAGAAATGTATTAGGGTTAGATGCGGAAAACACAATAACTATAGGTAGACAGTACCACTATCAGGTAGACAGTACCACTATCAGGGTAGACAGTACCACTATCAGGTAGACAGTACCACTATCATGTAGACAGTACCACTATCAGGGTAGACAGTACCACTATCAGGGTAGACAGTACCACTATCAGGTAGACAATACCACTATCAGGGTAGACAGTACCACTATCAGGGTAGACAGTACCACTATCAGGTAGACAATACCACTATCAGGGTAGACAGTACCACTATCAGGTAGACATTATTACATAGACAGTACCACTATCAGGGTAGACAATACCACTATCAGGGTAGAAGTCCCACTATCATGGTAGACAATACCACTATCAGAGTAGACAGTACTACTATCAGATAGACAGTCCCACTATCAGGGTAGACAGTACCACTATCAGGGTAGACAGTACCACTGTCAGGGTAAACAGTACCATTATCAGGGTAGACAGTACCACTATCAGGTAGACAGTACCATTATTACATTTACATTTTAGTCATTTAGCAGACGCTCTTATCCAGAGCGACTTACAGTTAGTGAATACATTTTTTTTTTATACTGGCCCCCCGTGGGAATCGAACCCACAACCTTGGCATTGCAAATGCCATGCTCTATCAACTGAGCTACATCCCTGCCGGCCATTCCCTCCCCTACCCTGGACGACGCTGGGCCAATTGTGCACCGCCCATGAGTCTCCCGGTCACGGCCGGCTGCGACAGAGCCTGGATTCGAACCAGGATCTCTAGTGGCACAGTTAGCACTGCGATGCAGTGCCTTAGACCACTGCGCCACTCAGGAGACAGGTAGTGGTATTATCAGGGTAGACAGTACCACTATCAGGGTAGACAATACCACTATCAGGGTAGACAGTACCACTATCAGAGTAGACAGTCCCACTATCAGAAAATGTTTTCCCTGTACCTATTAGAGTGCACATACAGTGGCAGCATAATCTAGACTTCATCTGGGCTATCAGGGAGTAATACTGTGTCTGACTGACATCAAATGAATAACCAGAGGACTGGATGAAAGCTATCGAATGAATGAATTAAAAAAACTTGTCAAATCGCCAGTTATGGGATTAATTGACACATAAACAAACATTACAATAATTCACAGTGATAACTCTTCTTCTGGTGTTCTCTGCATTGCGCATCGCATAAAGACTGAAAAAGATCAATACAAATAAAATAAAAATATCTGTTGCCAGGTGCAGCCCAGTGGCAGTGAGATGGGCTATAGACGGTGAGACGGGCTGGAGGCCAGTCAATAAGTGGACTGTTCTATAGACTGCTGGCCCTTTTGAGAAGCATACAGTAAAATGGGGCTGATGTGTCAAGATTAGAACAGCATTAGCAGTGCCAAATGATCTACAGTGCATACTTCAGAAACTAATGAAAATGGAGTAACTGCAATCTCACAATTCTGTACCGTCTGTCCTTGTAAAAGTTTCATCAGCTTATAGTATTATTTTGATATAATGCTTTATTCATGGGGTTGTTCCTTCTCTCCCAGCATACTCAGACCCCAACCGCCCCTGGGCCTGGTCCAGAGGAGGGCCCCGTGATGCAGCTCGTCCACAGGCCCCTACGGCGGGAGAAGCGTTGTTCCTGTGAGAACCTGAATGATAAAGAATGTGTGTACTTCTGCCACATTGGCATCGTCTGGGTCAACACTCCTAGGTGAGTCCATCAAGAACAACATCTCACAGCACAAATAGAATTCACCCTCTCATAAACAAAACGTAGTTAGAAAGATCTCTAAGACAGAGATATCTGTGTTGTGAAAACAGAGAAGTTTGTCTATACTTAGTTTAGTTGGACAGATTGCAAAGGTGGAGATACATAACATTTTAATGATCAATTCTCACACTGTATCATATTTGCGTATTGAGCCATATTGTACAGTATAATTAAGAAATAAGGCCGGGGGGGGGGGGGGGGGGGGGTGTTTATGGCCAATATACCACAGCTAAGGGCTGTTCTTAAGCATGACGCAATGCGGAGTGGCTGGATACAGCCCTTAGCCGTGGTATATTGGCCATATACCACAGACCCAGAGGTGCCTTTTTGCTATTAATACATTTACATTTTAGTCATTTAGCAGACGCTCCTATCTAGAGGGACTTACAGTTAGTGAGTGCATACATTTTCATACTGGCCCCCCGTGGGAATCGAACCCACAACCCTGGTGTTGCAAACGCCATGCTCTACCAACTGAGCTACACAGGACTATAAACTGGTTGCCAACATAATTAGAGCAGTAAAAATAAACGTTTTGTCATACCCGTGGTATACGGGTATATACCACGGCTGTCAGCCAATCAGCATTCAGGGCTCGAACCACCCAGTTTATAATTGCATATTAAGTCATCGTATGTTGTGACAGTGTTCTGAGAAGCCACAGGGGTTTTTCGTGATTTATTATCACATCAGAGTGTAATGAGCTGGATGATTTGTGGTACTTCGTAAAACTCAAAACCACAGTGTCAAGGATTTAATTTAAAATAAGAGACAGTTACTGTCTATCATCAACTCAGACTTTCTCTCTCAACTCTTTCCTGCTGAAGTTTCTTGTTCAACACGAAATACCAGTGAACTTCAACACTACAGTTGACCCACAATAAGTTGGATCTGAACATACAGTACTTCCTGAGCCAAATATCCCACATCCAATTAGTTGGAGGAGCGGTTAGGGCATCTGGCCTCTCTTGTTAATTCCTTGTTTCCTCAGGCGTTCATATGTGTTCTGGAAGTACAAGGTTTTTATAAGTTTGCCAATATACTTTCCAATGGTTAGCCCAAAACAGCTACTAAAGACCAAGACCTATACAGTGTAGGTCCTGTGCTATGTTTAAACATGGAATCACAGTAGTAGTATGCAATTATGTGATCCTTTGTTGTTGCCCTGTGACATGATGAGGTTGGACCCATGAGCAGAGAATAGACTAAATGAGGAATCGGTGTTAGAAGTAAACATAAATACTTTACTGAGAATAGGTAGCAGCAGGATTACAGTAACGCTGAGAAAAAAACAAACACTAGGACTAGAGAACTTACTCAGGAGGCAAACACACATGACAAACGAATCAAGCTACTGCAAAGGGAAACAGAAAACACACCTCTCTTAAAGGGGAACTCAATTAGAAAATACCTGAGTGTCATAATAGTCTCTAGGACGGTCTCTGTCGCCCTCTGGTGACAGGTGGAACCATGACAGTACCCCCGTCTTCTAGAAGCGGCTCCAGCTGCGGAGCCAGGGCGAACTCCCGAACCAGTCCCGGATCCAGGATGTCCCTGGCAGGCACCCACGCCCGCTCCTCGGTAGCGTAACCCTCCCAGTCCACCAGGTACTGCAGGGCACCTTGGACCCGAAGAGCCTCCAACAGACGCCGGACAGTATAGGCCTGGCAGTATTCAGTAAGTCGAGGAGGCGGAGGGGCAGGTGTGGGGGGAGAGAAGGGACTGGTTCTTACCAACTTGAGTCGGGAAACATGGAAGGATGGACAGACTTTCATAGACCTGGGAAGCTGGAGAAGGTAAGTGACTGGGTTGATGAGACTCCGGATCTTGAATGGTGCAACATAGCGCGGAGCGAGCTTCCGCAAGTCCAACTTTAAGGGAAGATCACGGGTGGACAGCCATACCCGTTGACCCGGTCGGAGGAGCCGAAGAGCCCTTTGGTGTCGGTTTGCCTGGTGCTGATGTCGGACAGAGGAGCAGAGCAAGGTGGATCGCGCTCTGATCCAGGTGCGGTGACATCGGCGAATGAATGCCTCGGCTGATGGCACCCCCACTTCGGCCTCCTGTTCAGGATATGGGGGGGCAAACCTGAACTGACACTCGAACGGCGACAGTCCAGTGGATGAGTTTGGCAGTGTGTTGTGAGCATATTCCGCCCAGATGAGGAATTTGCTCCAGTTGACAGCCTGAGAAGAGACAAAACAGCGGAGGAACTTCTCCAGCTACTGGTTGACCCGCTCAGTCTGCCCATTCGACTGTGGGTGGAACCCCGAGGAGAGACTCACCGACGCCCCCAACAGGGAGCAGAAGGCTTTCCAATACCGCGCCACGAACTGGGGCCCACGATCCGAGACAATGTCCTGGGGAAGTCTGTGTAGTCGAAAGACATGGGTAATCAAGAGTAGTGGTCTCCCTCGCTGAGGACAACTTGGGCAAAGCAATGAAATAGGCTGCTTTGGAGAACCCATCGATGACTACCAGGATAGTGGTCAGCCCTTGGGAAGGAGGTCACCTTGTGATACAGACAGGTGGGACCAGGGCCGGCTGGGGATGGGCAGAGTTTGGAGCAATCCAGCCTGTCGCTGTCATGAAGATTTACTTTGGGCACAGGTGGAGCAGGCCATCACAAAGGACATCACATCCTCAGTCATGTTGGGCCACCAGAATCTCCGCATCAGGAACTCCAGTGTCCAATTAACCCCTGGGTGCCCAGACAATTTAGAGGTGTGTCCCCATTTAAGTACTTGGGACCGGACTGATCGCAGAACATAGAGCCTGTTAGCGGGACCCCCACCGGGGTCAGGTTCTCGGTTCTGGGCATGTCGTACTGTGGTCTCAATACTCAATGCGGGAACTGGGGATGATAAGCTCGGAGCCCCTCTCCTCGTTAGAGACATCGTGCTGACGGGACAGGGCGTCTGCCTTCTGATTCTTGGATCCCGGGAAATAGGCTAGTGTGAAGTTGAACCTGTGAAAAAACAGAGCCCGCCTAGCCTGGCGAGAGTTCAACCTCTTGGCTTCTTGAATGGAGACCAAGTTCTTATGGTCTGTCCAGATCACGAAAGGATGAGGTGCCCCCTCCAACCAGTGTCTCCACCCCTCAAGAGCCCACTTTACTGCCAAGAGCTCCCGATTGCCTACATCGTAGTTGCGTTCCGCTGGCGAGAACTGCTTGGAGAGGAAGGCGCATGGGTGCAGTTTCTTGTCCTCCTCGTTCCGCTATGAAAGGACCACCCCTGCTCCGGTGTCTGAGGCGTCCACCGCTACCATGAAGGGACGAGTAGGATCAGGATGAACGAGGATGGGCTCTGAGGTGAAACGTCCCTTGAGCTCCACAAATGCCCTGTCAGCCTCGGGGGTACAGCAAAAACGGGTCTGGGACCCTGCCACCGCACCAAAATTGCGTATAAAACACCTGTCTCACACGTTCTCGGATGCGGTTGTCAAGCCTGATTGCCAGTGTTATCAGTGACTCAAGGTCCTCTCCCAGTTCTTGAGCGGCCAGTTCATCCTTGATGGGGTTAGACAGACCCTGGTGGAAAGCGGTAACCAGTGCCTCCGTATTCCACCCGCTCTCAGCGGCGAGGGTGCGGAACTCAATGGCGAAGTCAGCCACTGGTCTGGTCCCTTGGCGGAGTCTGAACAGTCGGCTTGCTGCACCTCGCCCACCGACTGGGTGGTCGAAGACTCGTCGCAACTCGGCAGGGAAGGCCAATATGGAGTTGCAGGATGGTGACTGCTGTTCCCACACCGCCGTAGCCCATGCCAGGGCCCTGCCCGAGAGTAGAGAGATGATGTAGGCGATCATGGCTCGATCGGTGTGGAACGAGGAGGACTGTAACTCGAACACCAGAGAGCACTGAGTAAGGAATCCCTTGCATCCTCCCGGGTGACCGTCGTACCGCTCGGGGGCAGGGATCTTGGGTTCCCGGTGCAGGTTCCCTGGAGGACCTATGGCGACACCTGTAGTACTGGGCGATGAGACTTGGGCATTGGCTCCTCCTGGGTTGGGGTTGGAGGGAATTGATAAGTGCCTGAAGGGTCTCAGATATTTAGGAGAGTTGTTCTTGCTGTCGTCTCAACAGTGCTCCTTGGTGGGTTATAACATTCTTGATGAGGGTGATCTCTGCTGGGTCCATGTTGGTGGCAGTAGCTTGCTGTGACATGATGAGGTTGGACCCAGGAGCAGAGAACAGACCAAACGAGGAATCAGTGGTAAAAGTAAACATAAATACTTTACTGAGAATAGGTAGCAGCAGGATTACAGTAACGCTGAGAAAACATCAAACACTAGAGAACTTACTCAGGAGGCAAACACACATGACAAATTAATCAAGCTACTGCAAAGGGAAACAGAAAACACACCTCTCTTAAAGGGGAACTCGTAATTAGAAAATAGAAAACACCTGAGTGTCATAATAGTCTCTAGGACGGTCTCTGTCGCCCTCTGGTGACAGGTGGAACCATGACATGCACTTATCATATCATCGGTAATACCACAGTTCCTCCTACCAAACATACTTAAACATAAGAATGGAAATCAGCAGTTAGGAACTGATATTGCATTTCACATTAATGTTCACAAATAATCATTCATTTCCAAACTGAGCATAGGATCTTCTGAGACTCTTGCATGGTTTCTACTCAATTCTGTTGACTCAAGCTATCTACTTCCAACGCCAACTCTTGCAACTAAGACAGTTCACAGTTCATAAAGAGTAGAGGACACTTACTGGCAGCTAAAGAGACAGGCTTTCACCATCCAAAAATACTGAGGTTAAACTTCAACAGAGAGAAAGAGACGAAGGGGGGAAAATGAAAGGGTCACCTTTCAACAGCTGCCAAAAACACAGTATGGAATGCAGATGTTTTGGCTGCTCAGACAGACAGGCAGACAGACAGGCAGACAGATGGGTGCATGTGTGTGCATGTGTGTGTGTGTGCATGTGTGTGACGGTGTGTGGAGAACACAGGGAGGAGGTGACCCTGTTTGATGGGGATGTTTTGAGTCATGCATAGCATATGGAATCAGTTCACTGTGTGGTCTTGTTAACATGTCCCAGGCATGAGATGGGCAACAAGCCATCATGTCGGGCAGGCAGACTGGCTCTGGTTGGCTTCAGGATCAGGTTAATATCCAGAGCAATGAAGCAGCAGATTTAGGATATATAAATGTGTTATGGTAGACTGGCGTCCTCTCTGTGTTCTGTAAGTCAGGTTTAATACATTATACCCTCGAGACTCACTAGACACCAGTGTTTGCTCAGCTTTACAGTTTTTTTTTACATGATCTGCCTCATTGGTTCTGTAAAAGCATTTTGTGAGTGCCAATAGAGATATAATATAGGATATTGAGCTATTAAGCGCCCCTTAGCCCAAAATAAATTAACATAATAAAATAATTCCCACCAAAGTGGGAGATATCAGTTTTTTGCATGGGCTGTGTCTCAATCCACCGCATCTGCCGATATCATACAGTATGAAAAATGTATGCACTCACTAACTGTAAGTCGCTCTGGATAAGAGCGTCTGCTAAATGACTAAAATGTCAAATGTAAATATCACCCTTCCGCATTTGCGGTGATAGGTGGCAGAGCTAGAGCGGTGTTTGTCAGACCGTGAGATGTCCCGAAAATTGCTCTTCTCACAAAAACGTCTGTAGCGCCCGAACAGTTTGGCCTATAAAGTATTATGACCACTCTATTGAAAGTTGAGACTCTCATAAACATGATAGCTTCTGTCTGTAGCATCTGAACTGTTTGGGCTACACACAAGCCTCACAAGACTCATCTGAAGGTCCCGGTACTAGTTAGAAAATGAATGGAAGTATATATAGAGATATTTTAGACACTAAACTAAGGGCATAAATACGTAAATTAAACAAAAATAGTTTCCTGATCTTATATTTCTCAGATATAGGACAGACACTTCAGAACAAACTTCCTTTAGATTTTTTGTGGAACTATCTGTTGTTCCATGTTGTGAATTTGTTATTCAATGTGTTTCTATTGACTAATAACAGTAATGGCAAATTCAATGTTTCATCCAATGATTGTTTTATAGAATTTTTTGATACCTTAATTCAAAATAAAATTGCTAAATGATCCTTGGTATGACCATCTTAATACAATTCCATATGTTAGCTTAGAACCCACCCACTCCCCTCCCCCGGCTTAGACAGGGCTTGGACTCTAGAAGGTTAAGAGCACATGAAAAATTAATTCCTGACATCCTGTGCTGTAATAAAATAAAACAAAACACTAAGTTCCCTTTGTAAGTTGACAAAGACGAACATTCAATTAAAAGCTGTTGTGTTTATCAGTGCATGTAAATAGTGAACTCATCATTCCCGTAACTCTCTCCAGTCAGGTAGTGCCATATGGAGTGGGCTCCTTCCCTGTTCGACTGAGGAGAGAGGTGGGACGGTGCTTCTGCGTGAAGAGAAATGACTTTGAGTGTCTTCACTTTTGCTTTGCCTTGGATACACTCAAAGAGTAAGTGTTCTTGAATCACACTTAAAATGTGTTAATATCATTGCTATCCCATATGAAATATTGGGAGGAAAAACATTGTCATAATTTCATTATTTTCATAGAGGTGAAAATTATTTGGTCAAGAGGAGATTTGCGACAAAGTTGAAGAAGAGATATAAGGCTGAAATCTCAAATAAAAGGATCCAACAAACACTAATGCAAGAAACCTGAAAGAAGAGAATGGACACTAGTTTCATCACCCTAGTTTCAAGTCATCTACTTTGATTGGTCTCTCTTACAATATGATGCAAAAGAACATTGTACAATGGTGGGCCACTTCTGAAATGTATTTATGAAATTATGTCGTAACTTTGCCGTCTTTTAATGATTGTGAATCATTCTCAAATGTTTTATTTGCTGTACATAAATGTTTCTACTTTACAACATACAGTACATAAATAATGTTGAAATCAGATGCAGTTATATAGTTACAGTAATGCAGAAATTAGCAGTATTAAGATGTTAAATTGAAATGTCTTGTATCTCTGTCAATATTGTTTCTGTCATGTTACAATGTTTTGGCCCCTTGCATCCATGTTTGCTGTCATAAAGTTTGAATGTGAAAGACATGCGTGCTAGAGATGCAAAGTGATGCAGTTCATGGTTCTTAGCAGTGAGTTATGTGCCAAACCAGACAGGGAATCATCTGTGTGATCTAGGACAGGTGGGTGATTTAATGTATCATATATCCAAAAGTATAAAAGTAGAGTTTACATGTTACAGCAGTGGTATCCAAAGTCGGGGTTGCCAAAATAGTCCCTGCTGAAAAAGTTTGAATACCAGTGTTACAATTAAAATTGCATTGCTACCAAGACATGGATTTCAGACTAGGGCTGATATTCAAGCAAACCTGCAAGGCTACCAGACCGCTGAAGAAAAACCCATTTCATATAGTATTACTATCTCTTACAGGGAATAAAGCTAGTCTGTATTGACGTATTATCTCATAACTAGCTATGCAGGTTGGTTTGAGCACCAGTCTTGTTTAAAAGTTTATCAAATAACTATTTATTTTGTTTGAGAGATGATTTTATAGCTAATACATTCAAATCTAAACAAGATCCTTGTCTCAGTGTGGTTTTATTACAATAGTCCCTTGGTTGTTACTGTGATCTTCCATCAACCCTTTGAGTTTAGATATGCCTGTGAAATGTTCATTCAAGGCACAGACTAAGAAGTGTGTGTGGTATGTACAGTATGTATCCCTTATAATGGAGGAACACTCATTGGCTGAACGCCCTAGCCTGTCCCGCATTTATGGATCAGAAGGAGAGTGGCTGTCAGCCAATCATCATATCTCTTCTCTCCTCTGGTCACCTTGCGGTCAGGTCAAGCGTTGCTTTGGGGATCAGTGTCCTCTCTGTGCTCCCTGCGGAGCGTCGTTCTGCCAGCATGAAGAAGCCCGCAGCACCGCTGGATTGAAAATGATTACAGCCTCAACCCTATCTAATCTTCTCCCACAACGCTGTGCTCACCGCTCAGAGGAAAATAACTCTATTCCGATGGATAATGGGCTATGGTTCCTCGCTGCATGACTTGTGGCTTTCTGTTGCTCCAATTTCCTTGACTATGCTCTATTATTGTTTACAGTGTTGTTTGCAAGGTTTTCTTTTAGAATACTGTGGCACATCCAACCATCCCAGGAAAAACAAAATGGACCAATTCTACACACACAACATGTCACGTTGTATAAGGATTTGAAAAGGCGCAGGAATACGTAATAGGGGTTTTATTTTCTCCACCCAACACAAGGTACGTCATGAACAACGACGGGGACGAAGCCCAAAACAAACAGGTATATATATATATATACACAACACAGGGATGTAACCCAAACAAAAGAGCGAGGTGTAAACCTCTAAACAATACACGGGACGAGACCCGTAATTACAAGAGAACAATACACGGTACTCACGAGACCAACGGACATGCGACAATAATCGACAAGGACAATGGGGAACAGAGGGCACATATATACACATACTAATCAGGGGGAATGGGATCCAGGTGTGCTTAATGAGACAAGACAGTCCGGGGTTGGTGGTAATGAACCAGATCAGTGACGCCTAGAAGGCCGGTGACGTAGACCTCCGGAGCCCCGACGCACTGCACCAGCAGCGAGACGACACCGGCCTCGGGGACGACCACAGGAACGCGGTGCGGGTCGATCAGGACGCCGACTGTGAAAATCCCTGGTCAGCGAAGCGTCCAGGATGTCCACCGCATGAACCCAGCACTGCTCCTCTGGGCCTTACCCCTCCCAGTCGATGAGGTACTGGAGACGCCCCGCCAGACGCCTCAAATCCAGGACTTCTCGGACCGAGTACGACGCCGGACCTCCCTCGATGACCAGAGGAGGAGGCAGGGCGTCACTGGGTCCAGCCTCAGCGAGGGGACCAAGCACCACTGGCCTGAGGAGAGACACATGAAAAGTCGGGTTAATGCGGTAATCAGCAGGGAGTTGCAAATGGTATGTTACCTCATTAACCCTCATCAGGACTTTAAACGGCCCCACCAACTGCGGGCTCAGCTTCTGGCAGGGCAAGCGGAGGGGCAGGTTCCGGGTGGAGAGCCAGACCCGGTCGTCTAGAGAGAAAACAGGTGGTCTGCCTGTTCCTTGTGCTGACGCACGGCCCGCTGGAGACGAGTGTGCGCAGCATTCCAGATCTCCTCAGCGCACCGAAACCACTTGCAGGGGCCTCGGTCTGGCTCGGAGGCCAAGGTGCCAGGGCCGGCTGATACCCCAACACGCACTGGAAATGAGTGAGGTTAGTGGAGGAGTGGCGGAGGGAATTCTGCGCGTACTCAGCCCAAGGTAGAAAATCCAGCCACTCCCCCGGCCGGTCCTGACAGTAATACCTCAGAAACCAGCCCACTTTCTGATTGACCCTCTCCACCTGCCCATTAGCTTGAGGACGGTACCCGGAGGTGAGACTGACCGTGACCCCCAGGCGTTTCATGAACGCTTTCCATACGCGTGAGGTGAACTTAGGACCACAGTCTGACACAATGTCCTCCGGGATCCCGTAGTGCCGGAAGACTTGCGTAAAAAGAGCCTCTGCGGTTTGCATGGCCGACAGGAGCCCAGGCAGAAGAAGGAGGCGACAAGCTTTGGAAAACCGGTCCACAACGACGAGAACGGTGGTGTTTCCCTGGGAGGGGGGGAAAGTCAGTGACAAAGTCCACCGAGAGGTGAGACCAGAGTCGTTGTGGAACCGGCAGGGGAAGGAGCTTTCCATAAGGGAGGTATATGTGTGTCTTAGACTGGGCACAGATGGAGCAGCAAAAGACGTAAACCTGGACGTCCCTAGCCAAGGTGGGCCACCAGTACTTCTCAGTCAAGCAGGTGATGGTACGGCCTATCCCAGGATGACCCGACACAGGCGCCATGTGCGCCCAGGAAAGGAGGCGGTCCCGCACACCCGTGGGCACGTAGGCACGGTTCTCTGGGCACTGTGCAGGTGTGGATTCCGTACGCAGAGCCTGCCGTATGTCGGCGTCCAGGTCCCACACCACTGGCGCGATGATACAGAATGGAGGGATGATGGGGGTCTCCTCTTCCTACCTCTCCTCTACCTGGTTTGGAGCAGGGGAATTTCCCTGGCTTGTCACCTCCTTGCCTATTAGTGGATAGTGGGCAGGTCGGGGAGAAATTACCCCTTTCTCCACCATAGGAGCAGAGGCCCAGATTCCTCCTTCTCCCACACTCTGCCTCGGGCAAACGTGCAGAGCCCACCTCCATCGGCTCTAGCCACGGAGCAGGTGTAGCCATGGGCTCCGGATTCCGCGCAGGTCTTCGTCGGGACCGCAGGAGGTTGTCCATTCGGATTGCCATGCTGATGGAGCTGGTCGAGTGACAGGTTGTCATCACGGCAGGCTAACTCCATCTGTACCTCCTCCTGCAGTCCGCTGCAGAACACGGTGACCAGAGCCGAATCGTTCCATCCGGTGGAGGCTGCGATGGTCCGGAACTCCAGGGCGAACTCCGAGGCGGTCCTAGATCCCTGGCATAGTCGGAGTAGACGCTCACCCCCCTCTCGGCCCTCCACAGGATGATCAAACACCGAGCGGAAGAGGAGGGTTTTTTGTTATTTGATTAGGATCCCCATTAGCTATTGCAAAAGCAGCAGCTACTCTTCCTGGGGTCCACACAAAACATGAAACATGACATAATACAGAACATTAATAGACAAGAACAGCTCAAGGACAGAACTACATAAACAATTTTAAAGGCACACATAGCCTACATATCAATACATACACACAAACAATCTAGGTCAAATAGGGGAGAGGCGTTGTGCCTTGAGGTGTTGCTTCATCTGTTTTTTGAAACCAGGTTTGCTGTTTATTTGAGCAATATGAGATGGAACAGAGTTCCATGCAATAACGGCTCTATATAATACTGTATGCTTTCTTGAATTTGTTCTGGATTTGGGGACTGTGAAAAGACCCCTGGTGGCATGTCAGTTTATTAGTGGCCACCCATTCCAAAACAGACTGCAACTCTTTGTTAAGGGTTTCGGAGACTTCATTAGCTGTGGTTGCTGATGCGTATATGGTTGAATAATCATCATACATGGACACACATGCTTTGTTTATTGCCAGTGGCAGGTCATTGGTAAAAATAGAATAGAGTAGAGGGCATAGAGAGCTGCCCTGTGTTTGACATTAGAGAAGCTTCCTTTAAAGAAAGCTATTTGAGTTCTATTAGATAGATAGCTAGCTCTGAATCCACGATATGGCAGAGGTTGAAAAGCCATAACACATACGTTTTTTCAACAACAGGTTATGGTCAATAATATCAAAGGCTGCACTGAAATCTAACAGTACAGCTCCCACAATCTTCTTATTATCAATTTATTTCAACCAATCATCAGTCATTTGTGTCAGTGCAGTACATGTTGAGTGCCCTTCCCTATAAGCACGTTGAAAGTCTGTTGTTAATTTGTTTACAGAGACATAGCATTGTATTTGGTCAAACACAATTTTTCCAACAGTTTGCTAAGAGCTGGCAGCAAGCTTATAGGTCTACTGTTAGAACCAGTAAAGGCCACTTTACCATTCTTGGGAAGCGAAATTACTTTGGCTTCCTTCCAGGCCTGAGGACAAAGACTGTCCTCTAGGCTCAGATTAAATATATGACAGATAGGAGTGGCTATAGTCAGCTACCA